GCAGCAGAAGCGGCAGCACCAAAGTCTCATCAAATATGTTGATAAAACACAAAAGATTACATGGAACATGGGAAAAATAAAGGGTCCCAGGGTTAGGAATAGGGCCAAAAGCAAGGAACAGAAGTAAGACCAGGGCCAGGAGCAGAAGTACAGCCAGAAGCAGAGGCATCTCCAGAAGGCCCAGAACCAAAGGCATCTCTCTAATGTGTTTGTCAAAACGTTTTAATGCCCAGAGCTTCGATCCATGGACTTGGGCTGGGGGCTGGGGTCCCATAAAGCTACAAATGCTTTGGTCTATCGCCCTAGCAGTAACCTTTTCTCTGCTTTTATTTTGGCCGGTTAGTGGATGAAGCGGAGGGGGGCTGATGGGAGTGGTGCACGTGGCTGACGGCGACGAACCCATAGATGACCTTTTTGGCAGCCACAGAATAAAAATTGTTAAATAAAAGGCAAATAAAATTTGTGTGTCACACAAATAAAAAAACGAAAGCGAGCGACGCCTGCCCTTGCCATCAATGTCTCACTGAAGAGAAGGAATCATAGTTTTAGAGGAACGAAGTTTTTGATGCCCTAGAAAAACAATTTAGTTTTTATTACAGATAAATTGTATTCGTCATTCGATATGCTTAATATGAAAAAATAATTAAAATTAAAGATTGTAGGGCCTGTGGTATAAATATCTTCAGTAAGACTTGCCTTCCTTTCGATTGTACGTATCATTCCAGTGAAATAGTGATTCTATCTTAGACCTAGATGAACTTTCTTTGTCGAATCTATTTTTGTTTTTGCTTGTACAGAAACACGTAGAAGAAAATTAGGAAAAATATAACGAAATGAAGAAAAATATTATGAATATTCTGTAGAAATAAATAGAAAAATAGCCTAAAACTATAAATAAGTGGAAAATATCAAAATATATATGAGTACTTTTTAGATGTCGCAAAGACTTTCTCTGCATCATAATACCCTCTTCTCTCGAGGGTACAAACAACCTGTTGTGGGCTTGTGTGTGTGTTTACATGTGAGAGGGTGTCTGTAAGAGTGTGAGAATGTATGCAAGAGTGTGTGTAAGGATATGTCTGCGTGTCCTATTTTGTTGGTTTGTGGGTGTTGAATGGGTATTAGAGTCGGGGACCCAAGGACCCCGAAGGCTATTTAAACCTCGTCAATGTGTTTTTCACGCTTCAATGGGAAAGCGGTCGGTCTGTGGATATGGCATGGTTACACTAGACAACAAAACTCTGTTCGAATATGAGATTGGAAAAAGTATAAAATATTTGACTCAGAGACCAAAAAGGCAGCTTTAACATCTCCTCCAATGCTCAGACCAAAGTATCTCCCAAATACTATTTCATTCAAAATATATCCCCTACCCTGATAAACAGTGTACATATTAGGACCCCAAGTGGCAGCTGTGGCACACCACTGTCCGCTCAATGAGGCATCATTTGATCAGGAGGCCACTCGATGCCCCAACAAAATGTGTTAATGCGATTGCTTATTATGTGTCAATCAGGCATTTTATTCCTCTAGTCCCAGCAACAAAAACAACAACAACAAAAAACACCAACAAAATACTTCTTGTCACCATTTAATGGTTGGACACATTGTTATTTAACCCAGGATTTAAGTGGGGTTTTTGAGGGTATTGCTTTGCACTGACGAAAATGAAAAAAAAAATATTTTAAATCTTCATATAGAAAATCTAATAAAATAATGAAAAAGATGCCATAGAAATTCAGAGGAGAAAAGGTTAAAAATTTTGAAGAATGTAATAAAAAAATTCAAGAAAAATACATATCCAGAATATAGAATTGTAAAGGTCTTCAAATGAAAAATATTTTGTATATTTTTTTCCCTTCATTCTCTTTCCTGTTTCCAGTAGATGCTGCTATAGATTTCCATGTATTTCCTTAGCATTTTTCCCCCATATTTTTCTGAGTGTATCGCACCCACATAAATAGCATCATTATCTGTATGAAATATCGCACAACTCATTCGTCATTTCGTCAAAAGTCAAGCAAGGGGCTGCTGCCGAGAAGCAGAGACGAAGAGAACGATGATAAATCACTTTCAATTTTGACAAACGTCACCCAAATGTCGCGTAGACCAGAGGCGCATTTCATCACCCGGCAGATGCCCCATACACACATGCTAGATACACCAACCCACACACAGATACACAGATATTCGGTCCCAAAATTTCCATAACGAGTGGTGGACCCCGGGCCTGGGTCGTGGCAATTGCTCTTTGCTTCCGCCAACAAATCATTCTTCAGCGACGGACACATCCGAGATATCATTGAGCGAAGAGCCACAGACAGACACGAGAGACAGACGGGTGGAAAAATAAGAGAAAGTCACAATTCGATTAAGTTCTGGGGATTGAAAACACGGGGAGGAGAAAGTAGAAAGGAAACACCTCCCTAAGGCTGGTAAATCATAAATAGAAAATCAGTTTAACAAAAAGGGATTACCAGGATTACTAGAAATGATTTAGGGTAATCTGGCCTCAAGTGAAATTTGATTTGTATTTTAGAAGAACGAATATTTACATATTTGACATTCAAAATTCTTAAAATTATTTCTTTCTTTATTATTTAGTAGCTTCCGGCCAGAAGAATTTTTAGATAATCTTCTTCTATGGTTAAGCACAAAGGTTGGCTAAAAAAAAGATTCCTCCATGAAAACTTTACCATTTTGGTCAAAAATATTTCAATGAGAATAATTTCTCTTTTTATAAAAAAAAAAAGTACATCAATAGTTAAAGAAAGTAAAAAGCGCTTTAACATTGTGGGCCAATTATTTATAACTTTTTTCAGCCAACAGCTGGAACAGTAAAAACTTCCATTCAATTAAAAAAAATATATATCATTTACTTTCCCTTCTCTTCTAAACATCCGTTAGACTTCCTCTAAAATTATAAATTCAAAGATCCCTCCAGTAATTGCCATTATGCTCCTCCCTGCCCCCACAGTGTATCTTCTTTTCTATCTTTTTAAATTATTGGGCCAAATGTCAGTGAGCGGCACAGTATTCGTTGTTGAGGAGCGTGTCTCTGCTTAAACTACAATTTAATTTCCGGCTCGACTTCATACCTCCTGTCGTCTCCTTTCTGCTGCCTCATTCTGACATCACGTATACGATACGAACGCCGGCTATCACGTATACGCTGGGATGCATCTCCTAACAAAAATATCTTTCGACGGGCACTTAATGCCTCAAGGATCCAGATGCTGCTGCTTCTACAGTGGCAAGTGGCAAAGGCTTAGACTTTCAACTTCCGCTTGCAACAACAGCAAAAACGAAACAAAGAAAATATAAAACCATCGCTTTTGGCGGGGGGCGAGTGTCTGCTGCATAATGCTGCATATTGGAAGACTCATTTCAGACTTTCAGAAATTTTTCATCACAAGAACTTCATTCGGAGAATCCATCCCCTTCTGGCTCTTTTAAGCATTCAGCACTCTTTTAACCCCTCACTCTCTTATGTCTTTCTCTCTGGTGTTTCTTCCCCTATGCACTCATCTCTCTTTTGTTTCTTACTGTTTTAACGATTGTTTCCTTATGCCTGCGGGGTGTTGCCCTCAAGGTAAGCCATCCATCAGGCTTCTTGACTTCTGTTTTCTTCATACACTCAAGAGGAACTCTCTGCCAAAGTCTATTTCTCCGCTTCCTTCCTCTCTACAGTCCCATCTTTAAGCTGTGTCTCTCTCTTGCACTCTCTCTTGCTTCTCTGCGTTGTTGCTTTTTCTTATAAATAATTCAATTGCCATTTTCTTTGCCCTCGTTTTGCACCTACTTGTAAAATGAAACATATGACGTTTTTCAAATGAATTCCAATGAACTCCGAAGTATTCCCTCCACACGTTAGACAGAGGGAGGGAGAGAGAGAGAGTTATAGAGTGCAAATAGGATATGTTGTATGCATGGCACAGCATGCAACAGGTGGAAGAGCGAGTCTTTCACTCTAGAAAATATTTGCATTCTTTAATCAGCTTCAATATGTAACAAAAAAAAACTCACGCCACCCATAAGGAGAAACTTCTCCATTTTTTTAATCATAGCTCCCCTTCGCTTATTCTTTTTCTTTTAGCGTGCCTTCAAGGGTAACTCATTGTCTAGACACTCGGTTCTTTTCTCCTTTTTCTTGTTGCATTTCAATTGCCGTTCACTTTGTATTCATGACTTCACCGCACATGCCCCCTTTTGGCTTCTGTCTAGCCCTTCTTTTGTCTGAATGCATGGCATTTTATTTTATACATGGATTATATTTCACACACACACACACACACACATCCCTTTCAATTTTTAATAATGGCTAAAAACCATTAGGCCATGACATCATTTACACGGCCTTCCCTTCACATCACATAAAATATAAAAATCCAATTCCAATAAATTTCTAGGTGCTGCTGCCACTAATGGTTGCACAGCCGCAGCTGTCTAACCCTTCGCTTTATATTTGCAACAACTATTATGGATAAATAGTGCGATTGGTGAGGGGGTTGGCACATGCAGCATTCAGGTGCAGTCATGCATAATTTGTGACCCAAAAAGAGGGAACAATTTTGGTGGGGGCAAAAGTTCCAAGCATATTTCACAAGTCGAATGTCATTAAAGTTTTGTTGGCGATTTTTTATGTTCTTTTTTAGCTTTAATGAGATGGACTTTTACGGGAAATTAAATGGAATTTTTTGGGTGATTTAAAAAGAATTTACTGGATATTAAGAAGAAATTTAGTGGACATTCACATGGAATATGGTGACAATTTACACCTATTTTAGGGAAATTATATGGAATTATATGGAAAAACAGAGGCAAAACTAGAGAATTTCAACATATTCTCAAATGCATGTGAATTCATTGAAAATTTAATTTTTAATTTAATTTAATTAATCTTGAATAGATCCCGTAAAAAAAAGTGCTTGTATGCACTTTAATTAATTAATTTTCATTATTCTAAATTATTTCCCCATTTTATTTTGATTAAATTACAGGTCCTCCAATCAAAAGTTCCGCAATGTTCCACTTCAATCCCCAATTGAGTCAAGGCAGTGCCTTGGCCCTCATCTGCTGTCTGATGAATCTCCTGATGATGCACCAACCCACCAATGCGGAGCTCTCGCCCGTCGTTCAAGGTAAGCCTCCACCACCTCACATTTCTCCGCCTGCATCATTTGTACACTAAATCCTCCCCTCCTTCTTTCAGCCGGTGGACCCATCAGCAATCTCTATGATAATCTCCTTCAGCGGGAGTATGCCGGACCCGTGGTCTTTCCCAATCATCAGGTCGAGCGCAAGGCTCAGCGCTCTCCCTCTCTGCGTCTACGCTTTGGTCGCAGCGATCCGGATATGCTCAATAATATCATGGAGAAACGTTGGTTCGGCGACGTCAACCAGAAGCCCATTCGATCGCCATCGCTGCGTCTGCGTTTTGGACGACGCGATCCCACATTGCCACAGATGCGACGCACCGCCTATGATGATCTCTTGGAGCGTGAATTGACCCTCAACAACCAGCAGCAGCAGCAGCTAGGAGACACAGCTGACGATCTCAGTGCCGACTATGATGGCCTTTACGAGCGTGTGGTGCGCAAGCCGCAGCGTCTTCGTTGGGGTCGCAGTGTGCCACAGTTTGAGGCAACCAATGGAGATAATGATCAGGTAAAAAAATTGGAATAAAAGTTTGGAAGTTTCAGGTACATTAATTACATTCTTTTGCAGCTTTACAACTCTCTGTGGAACTCTGAGAAAATGCGTCGCATGCTTTTGGCTTTACAGCAGTATGAGGCTGCTCCTGGACATGTTGCAAGCTATGCCAACGATGGAGACGACACCGATGCGCAACTGGATGAAGATACATCGGAATTCCAGCGTGAGGCACGCAAGCCAATGCGTTTGCGTTGGGGTCGTAGCACTGGCAAGGCCCCAGCTACCGAACAGAAGGTAGGAAAAACATCAGCATAAAATTGTTTCAATCCCATATAAATCTCCATTTTCTTTTCAGATTGAAACCTCTTCAATTGCTCCCAAAAATTAAATATTTATTGCAGATATTTATGGCCAAGGCGAAAGGAACTCCAAAGGACAATGGCAAGGACATCAAATGAAGGGAACATTGAAAGCTAGAAAAATGGTCAAAATATCCCAAAGCCAAAAAAGAAACAGTTTTTGAGAAAATTTTCAAATAGAGAAGGACAGAGAGTGGAGAGAATGTAGAGGCAGTGGAGAAGGTAGAAGCAGAGGCAACGGCTGAGAAATACATACATATATATATAATTAAAGAAACATATATCTTCTATATATATACATACATATATACAAAATATGATTAACCCATTAATGTCTAACATTTCGTTTTTGAGCAGCAAAAAAAAAAACTTACTCGTATATATATTTGTCCATGAAACTTTAACAAAATGTCGTCGCGCAGGTAAAAAAGAAAAAGTATCTAAAAGATTATAACGTTAAAAAAACTTAACAAATTAATTTGAAAATATATTTAAATTTTGGGTGGGTTTATTGACAAAAAATTGAAAAATTATGAAACTTTTTTGTTTTTCCATTTTTATTTTAATTTTTCCTCAAAACCTCTCTAAATTCCTATTATGCTCAATAAAAACCATTAAAGAAAATTCCCCCAAACAATTTCTAGCCTCAAGTGTATATACAAAAACATGAAAACTTAAAAGCCCCTAAAACTTAGCGCAAATTTGTTATAAAAACAAAAGAAAAATCTATAAAAAATATTTGAAAAATATATAAACATTTAATTTGTCAACAAACAAATTTTCGATTTAATAAAATTATATGAAAAGGTATAAAATGTTTGAAAAACATGGAAGGCCCCCGCGAAAGAAAGGAAAGGAAATATGTATTACTGCGACAATTGTTATATTCTGTGTGCTAAAAACAAAAACAAAAAGAAAGAATTCTATATACTATACAATATACACTTCATATATGTATGTATATGTAGAACAACTATTATATTATACGACTATATGGATATACATATATATCGAAAGAAATTTTATCAATGTATTTTACTTAACAAAATCAAAAAAATAAAAATACAAAATACAATTGAATGTTGTTTCTGACACAATTTTGTATATTTAATTTACACCATCATTGAAATTATTGTTTACAAAACAAAAACAACAAGAAACATACACATAGAAACACTATCCCCCACAGACAGAGAAGAGATCGGAGGTTATCAGTATATATACGTAAATATATATACCCTAAATATCATATGAATATGAATGTAAATAAATGTAAAACACACACACACAAATGACAAACACAAAATGAACGCGTACATATTTTACTCGATCTATATGCTATATATATATATATATAATAAATACCCATAATACCTATGGTGAAACTCTGAAGGAGTCAAAAAATTCAAAGTGTTTTTATTTGTGGAGGCTTTGTTGTATTTTTCAGGAAAATATTGAAAGAATGCTTACATAGAAAAAAAATCAAAATCTGATGACCATCGCATTTCTCAATTTACAACTAAAAAATTTCATACAGAAACGGAAATTAAATCGAATATATAAACCTTTCTAAGCCCTAAACTCAGAAAAATTTGACTATTTTAAATATAATTTCTCTATGTTATGCTATACAAAAAACATCGAAAATATTTTTCCCAAATTACCAAATATTCTCCTAAAATGCAGAAATGTCACACAGTTAGCCTCCCAAAACCATAACCTAATACAGTAGCCCGCCGTAATTGAGTGCATTTTCGTGTCGAATTTCCAATGTCAAATGCAATTAACAAAAATATAAAACGCTCTCCATTTACAGAGACAGAAGAGAGAGAGAAATTTCTGAACCACATTTGGAGTTGAAAAGTTAATTACGAAAAACAAACATCAAAATGTAAAAGTGGGTTGGGTGTTAAAGGTGTTAAGGGCTCTGGTTAGATGTCGACCCACAGGTGGAAAGCACCTGTAAATGTCTCTGTTTGTCTTTTCCCATTATCATTACCCGGAATGTTGTTGCTCCTGCCAGTTTCATCAGTGCGCAGCGCTGTTGTTGCTTGTTTGGTTGCTGGCTTAACCCTCTCACATTTGTGGCCTTAATCGCGTTGCAGAGGATACTCTTCGCCTGTCGTCTGTCGCTGTGGGAATCCAAGTTGATAATTGCTGGCACTTTTATTGGGTCATTCGGTGGCGCTTGATGTTCCACATGCAGTAGGATAAAGTTTGGCAGAGATGCACTGCAACGCGCGTTTTATGCATGAAAACTTTTCACATAAAATTTCAAAGCTTCAAATGTTTTAATAGATGTAAATTAACTTCACTACGTTAAATATTCTCCACAAATTAAAAATTGCATTCATTAAAGTTTCAACTATAGATTTGGACGCACAGCAAAGTTTTAGAAATTGAAACAAATTTAACTAAACAAAATTTGAGGAAAAGTCCGCCCATAAAGCAATATTTTCTCCTAATTTACAGGTATTTTTATACCCATAATACCCAAAGATTACATTGCCATGTGCTGTTGCATGGAACTCCAACAAAATGTGGTATAAGTTCCACATTTAACTCTTGAAACTTTGACTCTTCTCTGGCATCATTTTTCTAATGTCAAAAGTTTTATGGCAACCTGTTTTTAAATGTTCTATCTAAATGTTGTTTCTGTTGCACATACGGTACATATAGTATAAGGGTACTATACAGCATTACATTACTTAGTACTTGGTAAATATTTATGCAAATATTATACAATTACACACACACATACACAGACATATGCTCGCCTAAAAGCGCTCTGCAAACACACAAAAGTTTTCCAGGCCACACGCATACTCTCAAGCGAGAAAGCGGTACAAATGTGTCACCCACACACGCTTAAGCCTGAAAGCAACCAAACTTTATGAGCCGTTGGTTTAGATACCCTTAAATATCCACCGTTTATATATGTATTTAGTAGATACTGTATGAATTTTAATCATCTAAATTTTGATCACGGACGGATGGAAGGAAATGGCTTCATAAATTGATTGAAAACCCCTTTGCTGTGCTGTTGCGATATCCTTCCTTATATTTTGTCTTTGCAAATATCATTATACCCTATCTTGAAGGGCATTTAAAAATGAAAACAAACTTCAGGCCGTGACAGAAACAACTTGCGATTAAAAACGCGAGCAAAAGACTTCGGAATCGGTTTGCCTGCTTCCGAATGCCCCGCAAATCCCTCTCCTTATGTGGATATGCAAATGAAAGAGCAACAGCAACAGCAAAAAATGTTAACAACTGCTTCCGTTTCTGTCTGAGTCGCATGCCTCCCCCTCACCACCTTCTCCTCTTCCACACATGAGAAAATACAAAAACTAATGCAAAAGTTTTTTGGCTTTCCAAGGGATAAGACGACACATGACACGAACAAGAAGTGTTGGCTGGCAGACTAGACGATATCTTGTCTGGTGAATAAAAAAAAACTTTAAGAGAAATACTTTCAAGAGACAAGTTATCCAAGGAGGAGACTTTATTAGTTAAGAGAACGTTTCACTCACCTTTATTACATTAATTTTGCCTCCTCTTCTTTATCATTCACATAAATGTAATAGTTCATATGGCGAAACAAGAGAATAAAACGCAGCGCTCTTAGTTCTGTTGCCTTCTCCTCCTGATCTTGTACAGTTATTTTCACAGGCAAAACGATTTCGAGGTTACGATGAACGAAAAAACAAGAACCTGAGATTCCTGGAACGTACGACGATTTCGAACGGTACGAAACGACACAAATACTGCACTGCACTTCACTTTCACACACTTTTCACATTTCCTCCTGCGATCCCCTTTTTCAGCGCCATTTCCCGCTTTTCATTTTCAGCTTTATCCCGTTTTTGCGCACACGTGAGAAATGAAAGAGAGAGAGAGAGAGCGAAATCTTCTCCCCTCACCAAGTATGGTGACATCTTTAAACGAAAGCGCCGACGAAGTCACGTAGGCCGTTTTGATCATCTTCTCTCCGCCCACTACAAGGGAGTGCAAAAGATTTGTAGACTTTCTGCAATAGGATTTTGCACACCCCCACACACATGCAGCGCAAGACCTCGTGGCCGAACGAAAAAATTGTGGGCGACACCACAGACATAACGGAACCTAAGTAGGGTGAATGAATGAAATAATGTTTAACACACTTGTTGCACTTCGCTTTCACTTTTTTTCACTACACTTTCACATATTTGCCATTTGATCTGCCATTTTATGCCGCTGCTTTGCCTTTTCGTAGATTTAACACTTTATTGCCTGGATGGTTGATATTTTTCACTGCACTACACTAACACACACACGCTACACTATTTTCCGATTAATTTTCACCATTTTCCCGCTTTTTCCGACCCGAAACCGGCAAAAGAACGCGGAGCCGACATGGAACGCGTGCAAACCGAACCGGAACTTGGAAGCTTCTGGAACTGGAAGACCGATGATGTAACTGCGCAGCCGGCTTAGTACTCGCTCATTCCATGCTCTCCTTTTGCTCCACTTCCAATCACTCACTACTAAGCATAAGGAGAGCGAACGTTTGTGTGTGTGAGTGACCACTTGTTGGTGCAGAGGGTGTGAGAAAGCGAGATGGTTAGACGGCTTGAGACTCGCTCATTCCACGCTGCTCTCTCTCCTCTTCTTGTTCTGAAGTTTGAGGTCCTATTGGAATTTAATTGAATTGTAATGGTATTTATTATGCTTCTCTTCAGCTTCCTCGCCATTAGCATCGCAAAACTTATTAACAATCAAAAAAACACTGAAATATTCATCGTATACACTTCCTCCGCTCTTCAAATGCTAAAATGAACAGTTAACTTTTGTGTGGTGGAGGAGAGCGAGTTCCTCTCGCACTGTTTGAGAGCGACTGTACTGTCAAATCAGTGAGCTACCGTTTGAGAGCCATTGCCCTCGAAGTTTTTCGTATAGGGTAGCAGGGGTGAAGGGAGTTTTGGCACCATCAAGCAGAATGAAACGCAGTAAATATGTGTATTATTAAAAATATTCATTTATTAATGTTTAGATATGTTCTAAAACGGGTACCGCTTGAGAGATAGAACTAAAAAAATCATCAGAGAACACAACACATCGGAGATGATCCCTGCTTCGTTTTGTTTCGTTTTTTGTTTGTTTGTTTGTTTGTTTGTTTGTTTTGCATGAAAATGTGCTTAAAATTGGTATGGAGTGGGGTGGGCAATACTGATACAGCGCTCGAGGGTACGAAATTAACTATACGATTCGTCAGCTTAAAGAAACACAAACACTGGAGGGTGAGGGGTATGTAAGTGTAGGTGTAGGGTGTAGGTGTACGATTAAAAAACGTTTCGTCATAAAATGCTAATCCAGAACTTGTCGAATTTGAAAATCCTCTAAATTCTCTTGCGGAATGAGTCGCAGTTTCATATCGTTGGCCAAATGGAGCACCGCATAGAGGGCCACCGATGGGGACAAAGAATCTGCCATTTTGGCCGTCAACAGATCGGGCAGCGTACGGTAAATCTCCTGGAAGCTGGCCACACCCTTGGAGTACTGTTCATCCTTTGGCACGGGATGAACGGGTATGGCAGCCTCATCGACAGCATTGAGCAGCTGCTTCTGGATCAGGGAATTGCAGCTCTTCTTGAGATTCTTCATGTCTATCACCTTGGCACGCTTGGCGAATGGCACAATCACTTTGGTGACCTGCAAAAACAAGACCAAAAATAAATAAATACCCTTGGGCTTAGTGCGAAGTGCTTCAAAGAGCCTCCACCCACCTGCTTGGGTGCACCTTCGTATTCGGTCGCAATCTCCACAATTGTATCGTGTCCCAGATGCATGTTTTGGCTCTGATTGGGCGTACCCTCGCACGAATCCACATTCATCATGTCCATGGGATCCTCAATGCCCGCACCCGACATTCGATTTGTTGCCACCTGCGGATCGTCTGTGGTGAAATGTTCATTGTCAAAGAGCTCTATGTCGGCATCGCCATGATGTGAGGAGCCGCCATCATCCATGTCCATGTCATTGCCCAGTCCCTCGTCCAGATCGGCCTCACCGTAACGCTGGCTCACTTTGATGCTCGGCGCCGAATCGTATTTGAAAAAGTATTCGTCCTCAAAGTTAAATTTTGTGGGCAGCATCAGCTTGCGGGCATCCCATTTCTTTTGATAGTTGGCCTTTCGCTGCTTGATGTTCGCATCGAGCGGCTGGAAGAACTCCTCCTTGAACTTGCCATAGTTCACCTCCTTCATGCGTCGCTTGGCGGCCACTGCAGCCGATTTCTTTGGTTTGGCCGCAGTCACAGCGTCCGTTGACCCGTTCGTCTGGGCGAGAGTGGTGCGCGGCCGAGTGCGCTTGAATTTCCAATGCGCTGGACCCGCCCAAAACTGTGAGATCTGCTCCATGGGTCGGTAGGAGTAGTCCAGCCGTGAGACACCGTCCACCGGTCGCAGATCGTCAATGAATTCGGCGGTTTTCCTCAGCCGTCGGCAATTATTGATGACCGTCTGCTCCTCGGCGGTGAGCTCTTCCAAATCATTCGATGGTATTTCGAGAACAATGGGTGGACCTGCTTCCATATCCGGCATGGGCTCGCACTCGGCATTCATGTCAAAGGCCACGGATATCTCTGTGGGATTCATACAGAAATCATCCGCATTCTCCAGTCCCTCATCGTCGTCCTCATTTGTGCCGGGCGCCGCCGCCGTCTCTGACATGGATGTCAGCGACTTATCCGCCTGGTGGCTTGGGATTCGGAGCACTGGTGATCACATAGCCCGTGTGGAGTGGCCGCAGAACTAGATTATCGGCATGATTGACCAGTTTATAGAGCCATTCCGCACTGCACAAGGCATCGTCGGGCCACTCCTGCCCGCTGGCACTCAGCGTTTCGCTATCCATCAGCTCGTCCGTGTCCTCCGTCGCGTCCCACATTTTGTAGGTGGTGCGCAGCCTCAGCTCCGAATCCATACTGGGCAGTATGTTGTGCATCAGTCGATTGGAGGCATTGATGGAGCCCACCGTCGAATTGAGCTTTCCAAAGACCGCATCCTGCATGGGCATCATGTCCAAACGGGCATTCAACGTCTCCTTGTTCTTGGTCAGCGTTGAGACATTCTTCTTCTGTCGCTTGGGCTTGGGTGCCGCTGCCTTCTGCTGTTTACTGGCAGCTGCATCGCCACCTTCGCCATCACCTGGCGCTCCATCTGGCGAGCCCCCATCGTCCGCATCGGCATCGTTGATCTGCTTGTCCGTCAAGGTGCGGGCACTCAGACCCGCCGATATGCGCATGGCATCGATGTAAATAGAGTCCACACGCAGGCCGTAGACCTTGGACGAGGCCTCCAGCGAAGAGCCAGCCATCTGTGAAGGCAGAAAAGTGGGTCAAGCTAAGAACAAATGGATCAGCCCAAGCGCAACTCACCTTGAAGTTGCTTAGCTTCTTGTGATGGCGATCCATTAGATTGGCCAGCGAATCAATCAGCGACATGTGCCAGGCATTGTCTTTGCTCAGCTTATTGCAATTGTACAGATCCACGCAGGAGCGTATCGCCTCGTTCTCCTCAATGGACTCCAGCGCTGAGCTCTTGCGCGTGTCCTGCTGCACCAGCAGCGTACGCCGGCGTGCCTCCCGCCGCTCGGCCTCATCGTCATTGATCACGGTTATGTCCCGGGCCATGCTCTCGCGGTAGCTGCCCACCGCAGATCGACGCAGTGGCGTCTCCGAGCGCGGCAACGTCATGATTGTGTTTGCTGGTCCCGTGCCCCTTTGCTGGTCTGGTCGCGTCCCTGATTTTACCCGCAAAATTAACCGAAAATACCAATCTCTGGCTGGGTGTGCGACAATGGCCTGTTGTGTGCCGCGCAAGGGAAGATTATAGTTTTTTCTATAACAATTTTCACTTGGCTTTTGTTGCTTATTTTTACCAATTTCGTTTTGTGGCTGCTGCGTTGGTATTGGTAATAGTTTACAGTTTCTTTCAAACGACGCCGCAATCTAGGGATGGGAGCGTCAGTACTTAACATTTGAGCTGAAAAAAAAAATGGGCTATCGATAGCTATCGAAGTTATAGTTAAATACAAATAAATGAAACTATCAATGTAATAATGAAACTATCAATGAAATAATGAAACGCAGCTATCGGCATCAAAGAAAAAATGAAATTATCGGTATCAAGAAATAATGAAACGCAGTTGATAGTCGCAAACCAATCGATAGTAGCGGCTAGCAGCAAAACATCGATAGTATCGATAGTTCCCTCGATGGTTTGACGCCGCTACACACATACACACACACAGCCATACAAAATTTGCAGATCGGCGGCCGCGCTTTCAATGTCGTTATTGTTGATACTTTTCGGTGTTTTTGTATGAAAAAGTTCGGATTATTAATTAGTTCAAACCCAATTCAATGTTAAAAAGTCGCATAAAATAGTGCCTTTCCAATTAAAGCTGTGTCAAAGGCTGCCTCGCTTCCCGTTCTTTTTATCATTTATTTCTACGTGCGTGTGTGTGTGTGAGCATAGCTGGAATAACAGAACATTTCCCCCATTTGCGCAGTTTTGTAATTCCAAGAAACTGGCGACCAAAAGGAGAATAATGGCACGCGACGGCACACAAGGCGGCGGAACCCAAGGGGCCACCCAGAGCCAGTCATCCAACATTTGGACGCAGGTGGAGAGCCAGCCAATGGAGAAGATCGTGTGGGGCAGATTGTACGGGAAGAATATCAAAATCAAATCGCTGGGTACGAGCTCCAACTACCGCATAATGTATACGAATTCGTCCTTATCTGTTGGTAAACAGTCCATTTAAAAAGTCCACGTTTCTATGTGATCTTTAGACAGTGCTCGCCATATTTTGTAATCCATTTATTTTTTTTTACCCCTTCTAGATCTGAATAATGACGAATTTACGGCTGGACGTGGAGAGGCGAATGATTTGATACTGACGCTCAAAGATTTGCCTGAGAAGATTCTGACGCGCATTTCCAAAGTGCATTTTATCATAAAACGTGCAAATTGTGAGCTGACAAATCCGGTCTATATACAGGTACGGATGTCTACCTAGGGTAGGGTACCTCAGCCCTCATCTTTTGTTCTCATTTTACCCAAAAAAAAAAAAAAGGACCTCTCACGCAATGGCACTTTTGTGAATAATGAAAAGATTGGCACCAATAAAATGCGCATTTTGAAAAACGACGATGTCATATCCCTGGCCCATCCCACATACAAAGGTAAGTAGCCAGGAAGCTGCTCAACGATGCGACGGAGAACTAATTGTGCACACCTGCCCTTTTGTAGCGTTTGTGTTCAAGGATCTCAGCCCGAATGAGGCCATCGGCCTGCCCGAGGAGATAACCAAAACCTATTATGTAAATCGCAAGCTGGGCTCCGGGGCCTACGGTCTGGTGCGCTTGGTATATGAGACCCGAACCTGCGAGCAGTTTGCCATGAAAATTGTCAAGAAGAATATGCTGGCGGGCAGTGCACAACCCAACACGAATCTCAGCGATCCCGAGAGGGTCCTAAATGAGGCAAAAATTATGAAAAATCTTACGCACCCGTGTGTGGTGCGTATGCATGATATTGTTGATAAGCCGGACTCGGTTTATATGGTGCTGGAGTTTATGCGCGGCGGGGACTTGCTTAATCGCATAATCAGCAAGAAACTGCTGTCGGAGGAGACCTCAAGATTGTATTTCTATCAAATGTGCCATGCGGTTAAATATTTACACGATCGAGGTGGGTACTTTGGGGCATCTCTGGGGCATCTAGCCAAGAATTCTGATTGATTTTTGTCGCTCTTTGCAGGCATCACACATCGCGACTTGAAGCCAGATAATGTCCTGCTAGAGTCGGGCGATGAGGACACACTTCTCAAAGTCTCGGACTTTGGGCTAAGCAAGTTTGTACAAAAGGACTCTGTGATGCGGACACTCTGTGGCACGCCGCTCTATGTGGCCCCCGAAGTATTGATCACGGGCGGACGTGAGGCCTACACCAGAAAGGTGGACATTTGGAGCTTGGGTGTGGTGCTGTTTACCTGGTGCGACAATCATTCGAAACCCATCCACGGAGCACTTCTAATGCACTTCTTTCCATTTTCTTTTAGTCTGAGCGGCACATTGCCCTTCTCCGATGAGTACGGCTCTCCAGCAGCCGAACAAATCAAAAAGGCTAAATTTGCCTATCGACACCCGGCCTGGAAGGGCATATCGCAGCGTGCCAAATTGTTGATAAATCAAATGCTCATTGCGGATCCCCAGAAGCGACCCTCAATCGATGATGTACTGCAGGCCAATTGGCTGCGCGACACACAAATGCTGCAAAAGGCCAAGCGGCTAATGAAACTCGATCGCATGGAGATCGAGGAGGACGAAAACAATTTCCTAGAGCCACCCACCAAGCGTACGCGGCGATAGTTGAGCGGGGATATGGTTTTAATTTTCTGGAAAAATTAAGTGACAACATTTTTTCCCAACCCACCACTCGGACGATCCGCTTATATCTGCCTGAAATGTGTATTTTCAAATCAAGTATTTTTTTTGTTTTTGTATTGCGGTTGTTTAATTTTTAAGTGTTTAATGTAAGTTGATGATGGCCCACAATGTGCGTGTTGATTGGAATTTAGTTTGTATATAAGAAACCCCCCCAAAATAGATTATTCTTATGGAATGGGGCATGTGTTCCTCCAGATTTTGAATTTAAAAAGATATTAAAGAGACATTTAAATGGAATTTGTTTATTAGCAAATTAGAAGTAAATTGGATTTATTTCTGAGACTCTCTGAGCCACGACTGTCATGCATGACATTAATGCCCGGCATTGAAGACAATTGTTAATAAGTTTTAGAGCAAAAAATGCAAAACAATTTATATGTATTTCGTCTCTTTAAACATTTCTTTCAACAACAAATTATTCTACAGAAAATATGCTTGGGAATTTGTATTAATATAATACAAAGCCCTTGAAGTACATTATTTTGTATTTAGACGGTAGTCAAGTCAAAAAATATATATAGATATATATAGAACTTATGCTATAGAATGTTTGGCCATTTTACGACCGTATCCAATGGTGAGTAGTGTCTGTGCATCGGTCCAAACGGCGTCCGTCAGACGGTCATGCGTGTCCGTATTTGTGTAGATAATCTCGTGCTTACCATTATCATGTTTCTTGGCTATCTTTACGCCAGCGGGTTGATTGCCCATGACAGCCAAATGGCAACTGCAAGATAGAGTTCAAATGGGGTTAGCTATTTCGTGCAACTCTCTAAACATAACGCAATAGACGCACCCATTGATCGAAAGCTGCGAGATAATGCTGTCATCGAAGTATTGCAGCGTCTCTGCGAACTTCTTGGGCACACGAATGTCTATGGTATGGACATTGCCATCGAAATCACCAAAATAAATGTAGTTATCGCCCTGCAGCTCCGTGGGCTTTGCCCAGGCGGCACAGGTGAAGCTTATCATATGACTGGCATCGTTGTAGAGCGTCATGGAAGATGGCGCCGCGGCACGTGCATCCCAGATGCGTGCACAGCCACCACGATCACAGGTCACAAACTGGTTGGCATTGCTCACGGGTGTGGCCATGCCCGTGAGTTTGTCCGTGTGCGCATAGTTGGTGCGGTAAGAGCTAACCAGATCTGCGCCAGAGAAGTTCCACATCTAAAAGAAAGTGCCGAAAGAGTCACCAAAGAATCTTCGCCGCAGTCGTCGCTGTATAACTCACATTTAGTGTACCATCCGGCGATGCGCTTACAGCCTTTTGTGGCTCCGATTTGAACACACTCAAATGGCTGATGGGTGTGGGATGGGCCGCCGGTTCGCCGACCATAAAGAGGCAATACGGGGACTTGGGATCGCGCACTTTCGAGTATGTGGACCAGGCCTGCAGTTTTGTGTCTCCCAGTGCCACCAGCAGCACGTTGTTACCCGCATAGCGAACAATGTTCACCGTGTGGCTGGACTGCAGCTTGTAGTCGGCATTCTCCACCGTCATGTGCTTCAAATTCTCCTTCGAGTAGCCAAAGAACACGCCCCACCACTCGCCACCTTCCCGGCGATTGGTGGCGATGGCAAAGTGGTTCTGTTCATTCATGCTGATGCTGTCCCAGGAGCCAAAAAGCCGTAGCGAAAGATTCTCCAAGCGTGCGCTCAGATCGGCTGCGTTGAGATTGGGATATTCGAGGTTGCCGGCCAGCTCGACGTTCGGCGGCGGTTGGTGGCTATCAGGCTTGCGATATACCTCTGAACTTTTTTGTGGAAACATATTATACGAAAAATTAACAACGAGGGGGGAAAAAAATAAAAAAAATCACAACAAATGTGGGGGGAGGTGCAAGAAAAAGGAGCGCGAAACAGTGTGACCGCGGAGTTATCGCTCGAATATGCCGCCTGACCCAAATAAATATACCGTAAATATACCGAGGAAAATACACCCCTATATCGATACATCGATACACCTTGTTCGCTCTATCGTTATCGAAGCCGCATGTCAAAACACACATTTCAAATTTTTCGACGCCGCACCGGCTTGTTCCCACAAAAAACAAACCAAGCATGGAAGTATATACATTTGAAAAATCATACCTGGAGCGCCTCAAAGAAGCCGAGGCGGTGCTGTCCTGGGATGGAGATGTTATGCCCGCCTCCCAAGTGCGTTCCGAGTGGAAATCCTTTGTGGAGCTGCGAATTGAGCCAGCAGGTAAAAGCCAACACCAACACAAAGAAACAAAGATCGAATGCACACACACACACACACATTTGTATATGTAGGTTGGCAAGCGATCTGGAAAATACCTCGCGTCATCTGCGAGGATCTCAAGTTACGGTATCCGACCATTGTCTATGGCTATGTGGACCAGGTGATATTCGACGAACTGAAGGCTGTGTTTGTGGTCACGGCCGTGCAGGACAACGATGTCCACCTGCCGGAGAGCAACGAGGTGTCCTTGGTGGAGCTGTGGCCCACCGTCAAGCAGGAGAACGATGCTCTGAATGTGGACACCACAGCGGAGTGCATAGATCGGCTGCGCTTCTTTTACTCGCACGTCTGGATGCCGTGGGACAAGGACTACGACGACGATCGCGATTGGGTGCAAATGCACCTGCAGGCGCGCATTCAGCTGGCCTGTGATCTGAGCAAGAACAAGCTGTCGCGCCCCCTGGCCTTGCACATGCGCACGCTCCTCATGGAGGCCATGTACATACAGCAGCGTCTGGAGTATTTGGAACTAGATCTGAGCGATGCCGAGGTGGAGAGCGATGACGAGGCCGTCGAGCTGAATGACAATGCCGCCGAGCCGGCCAGGAAACAGCCCAAGACGGGCGGCAGTGCCAACGGCAGCTTGAATGTGTCCGCATTGCCGGTGACGGATCTGATGTGCCTGCACCTGCGCATGGCCATTATACGCAGTGAGTTTGAGATCCTTGAGAATCCCGAAATGAGGCGCGCCTACAGTGAGCTGCAGTCCAACTCCCTGAAGCGTCAGCTCCTGCAACTAAGCGCAGGCAGACCGTCGGAGCTTCCCCTGACGGAGCGTACTCCCATTTGCCATGTGGTCACAGTGCCGGGCACTCTGCAGCAGCAGATGGACTTGCTGACGCTGGCCAAGGAGCAAGTGCAGCCGGACAGGCAGGTTCAGCTGGCCAACACCTTGCAGGATGTGCTGAGCATCTGCCGGAGCGACGATGACATCTTGCTCTCACCCGGCGAGCACACAATCAAATTCCTCGAGCACCTCAACGACAACGGCAGCCTCAAGGGGCTCGTCAAGTCCGAGGCCATACTGGTGGCGCAACCACAGCTGCCACAGTTGCCCGTAGTCTGCTCCAGCGATGAGGGCAGCACTCTGCTGGTCATCGATGGCGACTACACGCTCTCGCGCCTGGTGCTCGACTGTCGTCATGTCCGGCGTGGCATTCTGCTGCGCAACGGCACGCTCACCGTGCACGGGTGTCGTCTGCTGGGCGACGGCAACTCCAGCACTCAGGAAGGTATTGTTTGCATGCCAAATGCCAGCGTAGAGATGCGCAGCTGCGTCATTGAGAACTTTGCCGTGGGCATTTCGCTGCGACCCGCAGTCCAGCGCAGAGCTGGGCAATGTCCAAGTGAAAAACTGCAATACGGGAGTGGAGCTGCTGGACACGACAGTCGCGTTGAATCTACAGGGTAGCAAGTGCAGCTTTGACGGCTGCAAAGTAGGAATAATGGCCGATAAACTGGCTTTGCCCGACAAAGATGATAAGGCGCTGATCCTAAAGCAATACAGCGAACTTAAGCGGTAAGAATGGAGTTTGATACCCTGTAAATTGTTGTTAATTGGGTGTGTTCTTTATAGCTACAACGACAGCTTGTGGCTGGGGAATTGCAATTTCGTGGATTGCACCAGAAATGTGCGAGTTTTCAATGAATCTGATCAGCTGCTGGCTCAGCGTTCGCAGCAACGCCTCCTAGAGGAAGAGCTGGAGGGCGAGAATAAGGAAAACATTGAAACTGCCTAAGGACAACGAATCGAATGCTTACAACAATCAACACACACAGTTTACGGTTAAGAAGAAGGCACAAATAAACATAAAAGCGAAATTATAAAAATTCAATTTAGGCGGGAAGTAAAATATCGAAATGCTCAACTATCGATACAAACAATATCGGTGCCAACAAAACTACAGCAAGTGTCCATCTCTGGTTTGTTTACGCACAAAGAGATAACTGCACAAACGCCCCCTAAAAGGTTTTACGATAATTATCACTGTTTTTAACGAGAACTACACACTGCACATTGCACCATGTCCAAGGAGCATTGGATGCGCGACCTGCCGCCCGAGCTGCGGGACATGTCAATCATTAATTTGGCCATTCCAGGTATGAATGAGATCATCATACCCCAGCCCAACCCAATCCAACCAATTAATGAATATCACGCGCGCCTATCTAGTATAGGTTCACACAATTCCATGACCTACGGCATAAACGGCAGCTCCCAACTGGCGCCAGATGCGGAGCCAGCTATCCGGCGCTGGTATCGCTTCTTTCCGTGCTTTGTGCGCCGTTGGAGCAAGACGCAATCCTCCAGCATCGTAGAGCAACTGAATCTGGGTGTGCGCTACTTTGATTTGAGGATAGCACAGAGGGACGAGAAGTTCTACTATTGCCATGCGCTGTTTGCCATGGAAGTCTTCGAGCCGCTTATGGAACTGCGTCGCTTCTTGGACAGCCATCGGGAGGAAATGGTTGTGCTGGATATGCAGCACTTCTATGAGTTGACGCCGAACCACCATCAGCAGCTGCACAAGGAATTGATACAATTGTTTGGCCATCGCCTGTACTCCACGGCAGATGGCTCCCTGCTCGATTGCACGCTGAATCGCTGCGTGGAAATGCAACGCCAGGTGGTGATCATATACCGTAGATGTCCCATTCCGTTGCCGCTGCGCTTCTGGCCGAGCTTTGCCTGGCCCACTCCCTGGCCAAACAAGGCGAGCATCAAGAAGTTGCAATCGTTTCTCGAGGACTCATTGCTCTCCCGCCAGCCGCAGCAGGGCTATGTCTCCCAGTGCCTTCTCACACCGACGGGTCGTTACATAGCCCTTCGTGTATTCTTCTCTCTGAAGCGCACAGCCAGGCGGGTGGACAGGAAGCTGTATCCCTGGATTACGGAACAGACTCCAGGTCCCTTTGACCCAAAGGAGCAGCCGCGTGTAAATGTATTTCTCGCTGATTTCGTAGAGCTTAAGGACGGACAGTTTTGCAATTGGGTGATGGAGTTGAACACCAAACTGGAGATGGGGCCGGAGATGGAGGAGGCAGCTATTTGATGCTATTGCGTACATGAAAATGTTTTCCATTGGGTGCTATTATTTTTTATTTTTCAATAATCAATATACAAAATATATTTAAAAACATAAAAACAAACACAAGCGGCACATTGCAACGTAAAATCTATGTAGTTCAAGGTGCGAACTAAACGTCAACTCAAGTCAATCGATAAGAAAGCGCACGGCTTTCGGTGTCTTTGTCGGTGAGCTGGCACCGGCTGCAGCCTCTGACTGGGCCAGTGCGCTCCGCATGCCGTGCAGCGCACTGTCCAGTCGTGTCAGAGCCTCCTGTAAGCTGACAGCCAGCACTCCGTTGTCCTGTTGATTCTCCCGCTCGAGCAGAGCGCTCTCGCAATAGCGTTTCAGTCGCTGTGCCGATCCCTGCATCATTTGCAGCTCCTGCTGGACGAGCGTCTGGAATTGGCTGCTCTCTGACGTCTCCTCGGGGTCGTAGGTTAACAGACGCTTCGTATATTGTACCAATTTGCTGCCAGGCGAGGGGCTGACGGGCGTTTTGCCCGACGGTGTGGATGTTGTCTGTCGTGGCGTGTTGCTGCTGCTGGAGACATTGAGCAGCCTCTTCAATGGCTGCTTCAGCATGCCACTCAGATTCAGTGCAATTCGACTAGAATTGTGCGCATCGCTTAGGGTCTCGTTCAGATCAGCATCTAAGGGCTCCCAGTCCACCTCGACGCTCTGAAAGATTGTGCGTGCGTTCAGCGTCTGATCGGGATTATCCCGAAGCAAATCGAGCCACACGCCCAGTCGGGCAATGGGCCACTCGGCCTTGAGGCCACGCTGCTTGTCCAGTATCAGTATCACCGTTCGCAGCAGTCCGAATTCGTCGGGCGCTTGGGTTTGACGGAACTCCAATTGCAGGCCCAGCTGGCGGCAGCGTTGCGTGGCCTCCTTCACCATCAGTTGGGTCTTGTGCAGACTCTCCTCGCTCGGATTCAGCATGATGCGTTGTATGTCCTCCAGCAGGGTGGACTTCTGGGCTGGCGTGGACACACCCCCAACCTCTTTGAGGGGAGTCTGCTGCTCCTTTTGGGCCTGGGCCAATACCTGACGTTCCGTCTCCAGCATCTCGCTGTTGCACTGATACTTGAACTGCTCCAGCTCGAGGCACTGCAGCCGCTCCTCAAAGTCTCTGGCATGCTGAGCGCGCTCCTGCTCGATGCGCGTGAGGGCAGCCAGCTTCTCCGCCTCCAGCTCAGAGCGAAGCTGCTGTTCCTGCTTCTGCAGGATCTCCTGGTGGGCCAGCTGAAAGTCAACCAGCTGATCGGTCTTGGCTCTGTGCGTGCAAAACGGATTCGATATGCGGAAGTAGTGGGAGCCACCGATAACCAAACGATCGCCATGGAACAGCTGCCGCCTCTGCGCCACCAGTTCGCCATTCACATAGGTCTCGAAGTCCTCGCTGCCTGGAATGACATACAGTTTGCCGCTGCGCTCGTGCTCGATGCTACAATGCTGGAGCGCCACCAGAGGGCCATCCAGGACGATGTCCGGCTGGGAGTTGGCCGAGCCCGGCAGACGGCCGCGTCCTATGCGCACCAGACCGGGCGGCAACAGATAGAACAGCGTTCCACTTAGTATGGGATCTGCGGTGAGATTGACCAGACACGCCTGCTTCTGGTCGGCAGTCAGCTCCAGCGCCAGCCCTTTGCGCCGAAGCAAACGCAACTCGGACTTTCGCTGATCCTCGGCATCGCGCAGCTTCTCCATCCACGATTTCTGGGCACGACTCAGCTCCCTTTCGCGCTCGGCCAACTGCTGCCGCAGCCCCTCCACCTCCGACTCATCCACAGAGGTCTCTATGATGATCTTCCGTGGCGCTGGGTTGCTGTTGTTCCCCGAGAGCCGCCGCTGTCGTTCGTATTCGTTCCTCAGGGACTTCAGGCGATCCACTTCCGCCCGCAGATCTCTGATTATCTTGTCGTGTGGCGACTCGTTCACCTTCACGCGGTTAACGATGGAGCGCGCCTTGCACGCGTAGCGCAGCGTGGCCAAAGTTTCGTCTGCATGCAGGCTGGCGGGTGAGATGGTGGCCAGCATAACGGTCTTTGAATTGCCGCCAAGATTTTCCTGGAGCGAGAAGCCAATGGAAATTTTAGTGCTGTGCATTTTGTTGAGGGAAAAATCGAATGTTTGATGTAAATTTCAAAGTGATTTGAGTTTAATTTGAGTTAAATTTCGATAAGCAAGAGGCCGGGGCTTGAAAGAAAACTCCCCGCCCAATTGATTTATTGCTCTTTCTTATCAAAAACTCATAGGGCGTAAAAACAAAGACAATTACGGGTAAACAAGAAACGAATCGAAGCTCAGGAGCAGCTTTGATACCCTTTCATTGGGCAGCACTTAAAATCTAAAATTTATTCTCTGTGTGCACACACTGTCATGAGATCATCTCTCGGTCATTTTACGACTTTTTACAACCATATATTAATGACATTCCAGGGTTAATATACCCTTGAGTTCCCCTCTACGCGGTACAGGGTACTCTAATGTAAACATTAAGCTCTGAGTGCGAGCCCCTGCCCCCCTCCACAGCAGATGCTTGGAAATCTTAAGTAATGAAAAATATACACAAACAAACCTTCGAGTGCACACTTATGAATACAAACATACACATACATACATATGTACATGCTATGTGCATTATCAAGAATATATGTACATATGTAGATAATGAGTGTCAATGATAAGGCTCGCGGACAGTTTGCGGCATTCTAACAAACCTTAAACTACCGTTGGCAAAGACAAGCGAAGCCCAATGATCAACCATAATGATCATTAACGTTGAACCGTTATCAGTAAGTGCAATGAACAGAAAGAGATAGCTAGCTCTAGTTTTTAGTTATTGTGCCAACTTAATATATGTACACACACACACACACACACACACATCTATGCATGTTTGCATAGTTCGGTAAGTTGATATTTATATGTATGTGCATATATTTAGTACGCATATTTGGATGTATGTGAGTGTGTGTGTGTGGGATGTGTGTAAAAGACACTTGTTTGATTAAGCAGGTCAGCACCGAGTAGAGACATAGGCAGAGCAATAGAGAGAGAGAGAGAGAGAGAGAGTGAGCGAAAGAGCAGAAGAAACGGCAAAGGTATTTGAAACAACAGGTAAGGCTGGCCACGTGCATCTGCCCCCAGCTTGCCGCAAAGAGACAGCTAGAGAGAGCGTGGGTGGACCGACAAGCGGCATTGCCATACCCTTCTACAGTTTTATACCTTGAACAAAAGCTTGTTTACAAAAAAACTGCGCAGCAGCGGCGCGTAGGAGTAGCTAATTGAGAACGAACAGTGGTTCCATTCCATTCAAATGCGCACTACCGAAAATTGGCGATATCCCACTGCATAGTTCTCCCCATACAGAGGCTGGTCCCTGAAACTGCCGCGGTTCACCGCAAATGCAAACATCAAATATTTCGTACCAAATCGTACCATATAATTAAATTTGGTGACTAAATATAGCTTTAGTATGTAGGTATATACGCCCACCTTTAGAAATGTATCACGATCCCCATACTGACCAGATTTCGTGCATACCAAAAATCATCAACCACATAAATATGCTAATACGTGGTACGTATTATAGCGAAAAACAACAAAAACACATTAATTGAAACCGGCTAAAGTGACGTAGGTACTTATTAACACTCAAATTTAAGCAAAATTTACAAACAAATGTTCACAGACTGAAAAATGCAACATACAGATTAGTTTTTGAAGGCTTCCGACGGCCAAAATAATTAGATGTTAATTAATAAAAATAATTCAACACGAGATTGATTTTTACTTTGAATGAATTGTACTGACAGTCGTTCCCATTTGATGAAATGGAAGTCCGCCAGCTGACAAAGCACAAATGTTCAGGAGTACCGCTTGGCAACCGAATTTCTTTCGATAAATGAGGCTTTCCAAAGCGCATGGCCAGGCATACAGTCTAGACGGTGATTAGCAAAACCTCAAAGAGATGTATTCAATACACCCGGCGGCTTAACGGCCGATTGAGATTCATCTCATGACTACAATTTTTCGTCAGCTTTTGTGGTATTTAGCAATTCGTTGCTAATAAGAAAAACTTCCAACATTATTTACCACGCCCTAAGACAATTAACATTTATTAACGATTTTTGAAACTAAAACAGGATGAATCATATGGAAATGGGTTTCACGCTGAAACAAACGTTGTGTGCACCACGGTAACTCATGAGCGCGCCTGTACTTAATTTGCGAGAGAGAGCACTACACACATGTATGTAGTATGTATGTAGGTATATGGGGGAGACTACACACGCTAGCAGGCGGCGCGAGCGGGACGGCAGAACAGCATACACATGCGAGATAAACAACAACAGTAAGAGCAATAAGTTTGGCACAGAAAGGCTTAAATACCCTTTAGGTGGAATGCTATTAACGATTTTTTATCAAATTGTCTTTTTTTGAGCTGCCAGAATAATCCTCCAAGCCCCAAAACCTTATGGGTAGAGCAGGCAGTGTGGGTGGGAAATATGTTTGCTGCCTTTGGCTTGATAGTCAAACTGTTACAAACAGCTCACAAATATTCCACTACCCTATCTATCTTTGAGGGTATGCACACTCTACGCACGCAAAAGCGAGACACGAAGTCGTCGGCAAAACAAGCCACGAGCCCCGCCGAACCGCTACAAAAATGCAGTAATTCTGGCATTCGGCTCTCAGTTTCAGCCGAGACTTCCACAAGACAAGACTTCCGATGAATTCTTCATAAAAAACTGCATTAAGAGTTCAATGCGAATGTAAAAGAAAAACTGGCTCATACCTTGACGGGGTATTCGACACAGACAAAGACAAACACACAAGCAAACAAAAAAGTGCATAAATTCGCGTATTTAACAAAGACACTGCAAAAACAAAGTGATTCAAAACAGAGTTCATTGCTCGCCGCAAGAGAACCGAACCCTAAAAGAGAGAAAAAGACAGAGAAAGAGAGACAACACAGTGAAACGACCTCGCACAACGCGCGCCAATAGCGAAAAGGAGATAGACAGAGATTTCGATTACCACCCACAAGGAAAACCTTTTAGACACCTTTTTCCATTATGGATGTTTGGGGCTTTTGTGTCAGCGATTCGACCATGTCGTATGGCGGGTCCATGCGCAGCGGCTATTACCGCGACTACGAGCAGTTCCCGTATGGCACACTGGAGTCCTCCAGCACAGCATCCTCCTATGCCGTCAAGGATTCCTACAGTCGCGTCCAAGGTAATTATCATTCAGTGCCTTTCGTCAGCGCCACCACTGGCTGCATTGTGGTTAGAGAGCGCAAAAAAAACATGTTTAAAAGCAACAACAAAAATAAGAAAACCAGCCCCCCATTTTATTGCGTGTACATGTATTGTGTGTTGTTTTTGTGAGAATTTAAAAATAGACCGCCTGATTTTATGCCCATGTATGCGTTGTCCGTGAGAGTTTACTATGAGCCTGTGTGTACGTGTGTGTGTGTATGGGGGGAACACGCCTTAAAATTTTGCGCATAAGCACAGGGTGGTCCATTGAGAAACATTCGCTTATCAGTACTCCCTCCCTTGAGTCGGTCTTTTTATACCCCTGAGAAAGGGGGGAATTATGATTTTGAAAAAATGCTGTAGAAATCACGTGCACAAAAAGATATTGGGGAATCCATTTGTTACAGAAAACTTCCCCATTAAAAATCTCACGTAGACAGGGCCAAAAGATTTCCGGTATGCCAAACTTAAAACGTAGTTAGATGTCACAACAAAAGATAGATATACCCCTGCAAATGACTCTTAAAAGGTGTTTCAACTCTCCGTTTGGCCAATCACTTCATATGGAGGTCATTGGAGTCCAGTCAGTGTACTACATCCGCTTCTGCTCATACAAAGAATGCTAATTAAAAAGATAGACAGCACGAGACTGTACCTCTCTTGGACTGACTCACAAAAAACAAAAGTTAAGCAGGTGGTCGCTCCGTTTTGGATATAAACTTTATATTATAAAGACAAATAAGGCAAAAGAAAAAGGTTTGCTTTGCTTGTTTTTGTGTGAAAAACTGAGGCGCAATAATGGATCTCAGGTGTGCTCAGAAGTGCTGCTGCTGTTTTTGTTGTCTGTACAATCATCATATGACTAATTATGCCAATTGCCACAACATCCAGATCCAGGGTAGAGATTACCTCAGAGTCCGACAATTCCTGATAGAACACGGGCAAGGTCGCTTATCAGATATGGTTGGTGGGGGAGTCTATAAATAGCATATCCGCACGGCTTTGCTTCAATCAATGGGAATCATTTAGTTGTGACACGCTCTCAATTGAGCAATCAAAGAGACTCGCCGTGTGTGTGTGTGTGTGTGTCACAGGGTCATCTGGCATTTTGAGATTTGACTACACCATCTACGTCACGTCGGCAATCAGCTGGCGGCACAAAAGGGCGCGAGGGTCGGCAGCACGTAGGCCACAAAGTGGTAAGGGGAGAGATTAGAACCAAACAGAGAAGAGTGGGCAGAGAGAGTGTGTGTGTGCGTAGGTAGTGCGTGAGAGAAAGTCCACTTGATGGCCTTGTCCAAGGTCTAGTTATGTAAGGTGAGGGCATTCCTCCAAAAAGTTATCCAGATAGTTCCCCTGCCCTAATTAACTACTCTCTATTATTTCTTTATTAACCCACGGTCTACCCTCTATTACTTACAGAGAAATTCAAGCAAACAAAAACCGAGAAACAGCTGCGAAAGGATTGCCCCTTCTGCAAGGAGCACAAGAAGCGGCCACTCATCAACTACATGCGTAAGCGGCAGCAGAGAAAGCACCATGACAGCATCTGTGAGGATGAGGAGGAGATGCATGAGCATGAGCACGAGCACGAGGATGAGGGGATGCAGCAGCAGCAGCAGACCCCAACGCTGGCGTCAGTCCTGCCCACGCAGCAGAGCTGCAAGGTGTGAGAGAGACACACGAGGAACAGCGAGTGAGGGAGAGAGCGAGACAACTACACAGTACAGACGGATACGACAGAAAAAGCCAAACAAAAACAACAATTGCAATTCGCAATGCCATATTTAACTGTAAAAAGGAAAAAGCAAAAACAAACAAACACACAAAAGAAATGGCCCTGCCTGTGCAAGCGGCAAGCGACGAGCGAGCAAGCGAGACAACTATAATAATCAAAATGCAACTGTACCCTTCCCACAGTGGCGCTCCAGCATTTCCGCGTCTGATGACGATGACCGACACACACAAAATACACTACCATTTACAAGTGAAAACAAGCCCGAAAAAACTTGATACCAATTTACAAGAACGTTTACTCTTATTATTATGTCCCCCCTATACTCTTCGTCTTATATAACATTTTTTTTTTTAACCTAAAAAGAAAAGGAAAAACAACCAAAAGCCTGCCTGCTCCCCTCCGCTTTGACCTTAGGCAAAACGAAAAAAAAAACGTGTGAAAAAAACAAGAGAAAAAAAATACAGTACACATTTACATAACAAGGGAAGCAAAAAAGATGTTACCAGAAAACCATGAAAAATAATTTTCTATTTTGCGTACACGAGACTGAAGTAGAAAATGTTTAAGCAACAGATAAAATTTGTGTTTAGTTTTTCCTATAATTTCGCCCAAAATTGGATCAGTTACAGGAATAATCTACGCGTATAGCTACATATATATTTAGAAAACCAACAAACGAAAAATCGGAAGAAGAAATGCTTCATTGGCGCCATTTATACGAGTATATATGCTTTGGACCCCCGACTTTTTATTATATCCTTGTCTATATTAGACATTCCTATGTATTTATTGTAACAGAACAAAAAAACAAAACCAAACTGATCATTGCACAGTTTTTTTTTGGGTCATAATATATTAATGTTGAAAATGTTTCAGAAAGTTTATGCAAAGTTAAACAATGCTTTTTTTGTTATTACAAGTACCGAGAAATAAACTAAAACATAAAATATAATATATGTACTGTATACGTATTACTTAAAGTTCAGACCCCAAAATACTGTGCAAATCAACAGACGGAACGATTATAAAAACAAAACAAAAAAGAAACCATTAAACATTTGCATTAGTCGGTTTAAGAGTAATTCTTGATTTTTGATGAATTTGCTTGCGGGTACTAAGAAAATTTTCAATTTACAAAAAATGTTATATATCATATATATTATATATTAATGTTTAATTTAAAAGATATACTATATTTAAAACAAATAAAACCATGCAAAATTATATAAAATATTATTGTGGTTTAAATTTTATGGAAACTCAGGAAGTGTCTACCGAATGGGAATATGAAAAGGGAGCTCTGAAATTTATTGGATTAACTTTTCAGAGAGTTTTATTTTTCAAGCAACGATACAAGATACAAAGTAGGAAGTCTGATTTGTCTGATTTTTCTCAAACTGGAATGATAACCTTATGCAAATTATACAACTCACAAACAAGGTGAAAGCCCGTCATATATATTAATGAGAACATCATAGAATTCCCTCAGAAATTATTCATGATAGATGGTTTCCCTCAAACCAGTTTCAACCACTCCAAATAATTTCTTGTTCCTAGTTGGCGTATATTACATTGAGGTAGGTTCCCATTTAAACTGGTTTAGTTTTTCCTTAACAAAATCTTTCCCCCTAATTGTTTAAGCAAATCTTTACGGAAATCTTTCCGTCTCGCACAAGTTCGCTAATTGTGGTTAATCTTTTGGAGAGGAATCCTACTCAAAACTGTCCCCCAGCTGCAATATAAAGTTAAATGGAAAATCAAGAAACCATATTATGGCTAAGGTCAGGTATACTATACTCGTAAATAAGCAAACCCTGAGACAGTAATTTGACCCAGAAATAAAAGATATCCTTGACTTGACCTGGAACTTGACAATGTCTGAGTGTGTATGTACAATGAATATTTTCCTGGGATTTTATTAAGCGAAATCTGCCCCAAATATAACCTCAATTAAGCTAAACCCCGACTCAAGTGGTTTCAATTGAATTAGAGCAACAGTACAGATGAGCTTGGAGCTCAGAGCTAACCGCACTCCAAGTACAAGTACAAACACAACACAAAAATTGCTTGCATATTTAAATTGCTCTTTCTCCAAAGGCCCCGACCGGGTGATCAAATTAATGAATACCACAAACAGCACGCTATAGGAATACGAGTATACTATATGTACGGTATACACGGGGTGTACGAATATCATTTACGGGTAGTTCGGGTAAGCATTGAGAAAAACAACACATGGCAGGCCAGGGAAGCCATAAATGCAATTTGTATATACAATGAATTTGATTCATTTTAAATTCAATGTTAACTAGTTTTTCCAGAGTGGAGAATGAAACTAAAATTCAAAGCAGCTGGGAGGGAATGGGCGAACAAATACGTATTATTATTATTATTATAAGCAAGAGCTCTCGTATTACAATTATTATTGTTGTGCGCGGAAACTGGAACCGAAAACGAAACGACACGTTCTATTATGCAATGCAAACGTGATAAAGGGGTCGAATTTGTCTGGGAATTTATTGTAGAGGTACAGAATATTTATAGTTGTCATAAAATTAAGGAAAAACCATGTCCCAAATAAAGACTTCCATAGCCTGTGGATATCTTAGCTGATTGGGCGTTCTTTTGGTAGTAATATGATAAAGTTTTCATGATAAATACGTAGTAATTCCGATCGTTCTTAGGATAGTAGTATAAATATACCATACATGCTATGATTTTCCAATTTTCAGTCAAGAAAACGTCATATTTTCTTAATTTTTAACTAAAAATTCGTCAAAAAATCTGGAAATCCTCTTTTTTACACCATCTGTTGCACCACATTTAATCACCATTCAATGGTAGACGGTAGACCCCATTTTGATGACTTAACAAGCGCCAGACGGGCTGCCTCCACATCCATGAGTTTTTTTAATTTCTTCAATTAGCAACACAAATTAAACCATAACTTTTGGGTGCTTAAAACCAAAAGCTTTTCAGACAGTATAGTAAAATTATTGCTTTTTTGGATGTATTGTCACCCAGCTGCCAGTCGACAAATTAGCATTCATTTGTGGAGCATTCAACGTGGCTTATTTGAAAAAGTGTGGAGCCCCACGAGTGTATTGCTAATTTTAAGAAATAATACTAAAGTGACGTAGTATTCATCAGGTGGCACGCTTCAAAGAAAAATATGAAGCAAATTATTATTCCCCCATTGGATTTCTGTAGATATTTCTGGAAGCCCACAATCCCCTCCCTGATAATACCAATTTTGTGTGCCCTGTGGGAATTGTAGAATCGTTCACCGCACATGCACTGCGGTTTTCTAGGCTTTTCTTTTGCACTCGAAACCAAACCAAAGAAAAAGTTCGCTTGGGGAATTTACTTATTAAAAATGCTAGCTTTGGGTTCATTCACAGTGCAGTTCCAAAGTTGATTCAGTGATGTGAAGGTTACAGCAAGTCGGGCAAAACATTTATAATAAATTTCCATAAAAATACCGCAAAGTATAAAAGAATAAACCTTCAAAATATTTAAATTAAATAGAGCCTGGTGTGGAAAATTGTGTAAATCTTCTAGAAAATATTTCTCTGTATTGTTTTTTATCCAAATAAATTAACAAAATGATGAAACGTTTGCTGTATAAATTTAAAACTTCTCCAGAAGGAAACTCCAAAGGTAAATAACGTAAAAGGAATACAATAAAGTATATAAAAAAACGAAAGATATATATTTGCTATACAAAAAAGGTTTTAAAAACTGATAAATATTTAATTTATACTTTTAAACCTCACTTTAGGCAAAACGTAATATACACCTAATTTAGAACCCACTTTTAAACGTCATACATTATTTTTATAGCCCAATTACTACAAAATAATACCTACACTCACTTAAACTCATTAAATTTGGATTTGTCGAGTATTCATCAAATTATTAACTTTGCTAATGGCTCTTTAATTAAGGTAATACCTAAAATTCCATGAAACTGTATGTATTCTATACCTGAGCACGTGTTAATTTCAGGTGTATATTCGCCTAAACTATAGGGAAAGATCATTAAAGTCGTTCAGAAAACCATACTAACATAGGAAAATCCATCCTACCTGCCTCATATCGATATGTATCTGTCATCAATTACCTGAAATACAATTTCTGTGGTATAACTTTCCCATTGAAAAACAAGTTTCCAACTAAAAAAACCAGTCTAAAACCACTCTGAGATTTGTTAAGGCATTTACTAAGTTGGCGCGTGGTCGCAAGTTTGTACATATTACGTTTTCCACAGCTCATAGATTTTTCCTAGCGTATACGTGCGGCTTATCATGTAATACTCTGCCCCTATTTTATATATAATATTTACTTGTGAATTAATTCATAATGTAATCATTGAATGCCTGACCTTAAGCTATGCCTCCACGAATGATCTCATATTCAAAAGTGTTATCAGGGCAATATTTTTGTACTCCTTTTCAAGGGTTAGAGGGGTTACATGGATTTGTAGCAGAAGTTGGTAAATAAGAAAAGGGAGACTACTCCCTTTGGTCTCTTAATTTGAAGGGAGATTTTTCTAATCGAAGAATTATATTATACCATGGAAAAAAAAAAGAATAAATAAATTCAAGGCTAACAAAGTCTTCAGTGCCCAGCCTTCCCCTTTTGTACCTTTTATTAGTTTCTCTCTTTTTGCAGGCTTAATTAATCTTTATTGTCATGTGCTGCCCCACTCCCATAGCACGCCTATCTTAATAAATTATTCAGACTCATTTATTTGTTGTACAAATTGTTATTGCAGCTCATAAGGATGGCAAGAGATTGGGCATGAAAGGCGCTTGCAAGTGCGAACCAACGGCCTGCAAATGTGGCAAGAGGCGACAGCAGCAGCAGCAGCAACAACTGAAATTATTGTTGTCCCAACTCCGAAGACGCGATAACTTATCAAGTGTTATATTATTTTAGTACGGACGAACAGCAACAAATAAAAACAAAAGAAATACACACACTTTATCTACAAAGTATTTTTAACTGAAACCCAAAAGATAGGAAAAGTACTTGGAAAGGTTTTTGCGTCTGGAGTAGCCTGCCATATGGAATGGATAGACAAAAATAAGTCTAATCGTTGAGGGACAACGCGGAAGGTCGCTCGCCTCGAGGGGGATTGCACAACAATTCAGTAAGCCGCTCCCCCAAGGGTTCCTTCACAGATAAATTCAAGTGATAGAGTGAGTGTCCCCATCGAGTGGATTGGTTAGGGGCGCCAATTTAAAGCCAAAACATGTGAGGAGCTGCTTCTCCAGAAAGAGTACTGTAGGTACTACTGTAACTTGCCATACGGATCGGTGGCGTGTCGATTCTAGGGTACAATAACACTTCGTGGAACTGGTTTCGACAAGTTCTTGTCTTGTGATTCCCTTCAATCAAGTGCCTTTCACTACAAAATGGTATATAACATTGTAATTACACATCGAATCATGGGAATTGATTATTAATTACGTCTTATATTAAATAATTAATGCGACATTTTGCTGCTAAGAATGTTCTTGTGTAAAGTTCCATCAGATAGGAAGGAGTGATATTCTTGGTAGGTTAAGTGGAAAGGGAAGGTTCCGTGCCTATCTGGCAGTTGCTTAGCTATCAAAATTGTTAAGAAAGGTTTGCATACATATACCCACACAAAAATGCCCTATTAAAGGGCATTTATATTCATAATTATCTATGGATTATGTGCTTCTATTATAATATATTTACAGCTTAATAAAAACTTCTTACTAATGATAGATGAATGAGAAAATAGATCTGTAGTTTGACTTAATTATAGACCTGCAAAATGCTTATTTTAGTAATTTTATATTTGCTATTAAACCTCACATTGAACTTTGCAATTATTTGAATACCAAAATGAACCCAAAAGCGATTTCTGTGCCATCTATTAGCAACTTGAAAGATAAATCTTTACAAAACTTTGAGAACTTAGCGCTCAAAGCAATTTCTATGCCATCTATTATTAAATTTGAAAGATAAATCTCTATAAAACTCAAAAGATAAGAAATGAAACCTCTTAAAAACCCCTCCCAGCATAAAGAAACATTTTAAGTCGCCTGACTTTATTACAAGACTCGGGCGTTACTGATATGAAAATGGTTTATAGCAGCCACTCCTCTAAGTAAACTGAAGATTACATGACCGCATTATATCATAGAACTTTTATGAGCTTTACACACAGTTGCCAGATATTCTAGAATGTGTGGCTTTTATCTTTTAACTATAAAATATACACTAAGAGAGTGTATCCGGAAAAAGGATAGACGTTGGAAAGGGGATCTCAAAGAAGTATTTAAAGCCTCATAAATTATTTTAAAGCTTGTTGGCACAAGGTTTTTACCTCAAGGGTCAACGAAAATGGTTTAGAAAACTATTATAAAGAATCATACGAATTATCAATCATGGCATGGAAACAATGAAAACATTAATCTATTTTCCAATTTGCCCTGGAATTAAACAGAACTTATGCATTATGGAAGGCATATATAGAACTCTTTGCCCAAACATAAATTCTCCTTCATTTGTATAGGGTATTTAAAGCCCTTAGTTACACCTTCTCCAATTCTTTGTTGCTTTGCCTTTATATACTAGAATTTTCCTAGAAAACACGTGCGCCCACTCTACTCTTGCATCAGGCCATAAATGTTATAAGCAAATAGAAAAGCCAAGGTATACGATTAAATAGATATGATAAGAAGCGCCTGCAATCACACAATTGATTGGAACACGGTCGTTGGGGAGGTCTTTGATACGATTCGGCTTAAAGGCCACCCCCCACCCGATAAAAAGGCTTAATATTTCAATTTTGATAAAGAATTGGAAATATTGAAAAGTTTGTCTTAATTATTTGATAAAATGTAGAAATAGAATAAAAAGAGAATTGGAAGCAAGGTAAAATTATGGAAGAAGGTTAGTATACAGATATAGAAGAGAACGATTGAGTCTTTGAAGTATTTTTTTTTATGTTTTTAAAGAAATTCAAGCAAAAAGCAATTGAAACTTACAGGTATTCTAAATAAATGAAGAGAAGAGAAATCTTTAAAGTAATTATAAGTTTTAAGGGAAAACTATAAAATCTTGCAGGTTTTCTTATTATTTTTAGTGGAAATCAGGCACCCACAAGTGAGAAAAAATAAAAGGTATTATCATTATATTTAAGATTAACACGATATAATGCCCATCTAATCGTGTCCTCTCCTACCTACCTGCCCATAGAACTCGCTAGTAAAATGTCTCTATTTATGCAAGATATTAGCATACAAATTAATTGTCTGAACAAACATTAAAATGTCACAAGAACGTAATCCCCCAATAGAGTAGACACTATAAAGTTAAAGCAAAGTACAAAGCGCGTGTGGCAAAAAGACAAGAAAAACGACAGACGATTATCACGAGATCATATTTGTAGAGAGACAATGGCCCAGAGAAAGAGATCTCATCTCTGTCTCTCTCTCTCCCCTCGAGAAAGAGAGCAAATACATCACGAGACCCAAAATTATATTTGTAGTGCGATACCGAATTGAGTTTATGCAAATATTTGGCAAGGGGAAAACACACACAAAGTTTGTCGGAAAGTTTTTCTGGGTTGCAGTGGGCACCCACACCACACCCCACACCCCGTTGACAGCTCTGAATAATTTTCCGGGCAATCGCAGTGATTGTAGCAAGCCCTCTCAGTCCACATCCACCCTCGGGCAAAGCGAAAGTGTTGATAATTATTGTGGAGGCGATGGCAACACGAGAGGCAATTTCTTCAAGGCAGAGGAGGCATAGCCCCCCATCCTGACGTCAAAAGTAGACCAAAATGATAACCCCAATTGATAACAAGCTAATACCAATAATCTAAAGGTGCCACCCCACCCATGAGGCAATACTACTCACCCTCAATAGCCAGGTGAGCACGCTCTCCCGATAGGGCACAAAGGTGCTGGGCGTCGAGGGACCATTGCCACCGCCGCCGCCCGCTTTGCGTCCATCTGCCAGGGCAGCAATGACTTTGCCCAGTGTCAGGAGGCTCTTGTTGATGCTGACACCCTCGCGTATCCGCTCGCCATTCGATCCCGAGACACTGATGCGCTCGCTGCCCGCCAGATCCACGAGACTGATTTTACTCCTGCGCGTTTGACGCAGCGAGGGAACACTCTCCGAATCCGTATCCGAGGACAGGCCATCATCGCTGGAGAGATCGGTGAGGTTCAGCACTATGTTGAAGATGGAGTGGGAGCGCGAGCTCTTGTCATTCATGGCCGTGGAGGCAGTGGCCCGCTGGGAATTGCCCACCGCCAGCCAATTGCGTAGCGCTGAATAGGAGTCCACCGAGTGGGCGCTCAGATCCACCACATAGGGTCCGAAAATGGGATGCTCTCGCACTTTCAGAGCCGGTCGCTGCTGTTGCACGGGCGTGGAGTCAATCGAAGAAGCTGCCGCATGCTGCACACTCAACAGATCGTGAATCTTCTCGTTGTATATCTCGAAATAGCTGACTTCCACCTCCACTTGGAGCTGCTGCTCCGCCTTGACGGCCTCTATTCTGCGGAATAGCTCGTGGCAGAAGCGGGGTATAATCCCAGCCTCGTCATGCGGTGGTCCGCCATCCAAGGCGGCATCGTCCAGCGCCTCAATGCCCATCATGCTATACGATTTGCCCGAGCCCGTCTGTCCATAGGCAAACAGGCAGGCATTGTAGCCATCAAAGGCGGTTTCTATCAGCGGCCCGGCTGTGCCCTCAAAGACTTTCGCCTGGCCCGCATAGTTCTTCTTCTCCGGATCGCAGGAATAGTAGACCTGATCGTAGCTAAAGAAGTGGGTCACACCAGCAGAGGCATCGGCGCTGCTGCCTGCCTGTACGGTCAGCTCGTTGCTGTTGCCATGGACCTGCACGACATTGGTGACCTGACCGCGGGTGCATTCCAGGGCATTCAGGGGGCGCACACGAACGGCCACAATCATGTTGCTCTCCTCGGAGACGCTGTGAAAGGAGTCCATCATCGTGTCTTTGGGTTTGCTCGAGCTGCATTTTCCTGCATTGCTCGGCGTTTTCATCCGCCCGGGCGTGGGTCTATAAAGAGAGGATGGCGTATAGCAGGCATTCAAGGCTGTGGGTTTTAGCTTATGTTGCGGGGATTTCACGGCATTGCTGAACGCTGTATTCAGGAGCGCCTGCTCCTCGCTGCTCTGCCGTGGCGTCTTTGTCAAGACTTTTCTTCGCAGTCCGCCGCTGGCATCGGACGCCGGCGTCGATTTGTGGACCATGCCGGCGCTACCACGGGTTTGGAATTGCTGTATGCGCTGCCGCACTGGCGTGCTCTTGTTGCTCATCTTTCAATTAATCACTGAACGCTATTATTATTAATAAACAATGAAAATGCAGAAAGTTTCAAATAAAAGCGCGGCGTCGTTTTGTTGATAAATTTTCATTCGTAGTGATGTGACGCAAGCGATAGCACGCAGGGTTGCTTGGATGGGAACATGTGTGCCGAAAAGGTCTGGTCTGGCAGCGCTGTTCGCTCACGCTAGAGATGGCCGGCAAGTCCAGTGATTGCGTACATGTTAAAAAACAGAATTACATACTAAATCAATAATCTATATATAAATGAATGTGTATAAATAATTTACAAGCGAATACGTGGTTTATGTACACTTTATATATGCATGGCATGATTTGTAATTTCTTTTAACTATCGCTTGCGAATTCAATTCATCGAATAATGCGCACGCGTTTCCGCGCGAATTTCCAGAATACGTAGACAAAAGTAAATATTGTTTAAATTAATTGAATAAGCGTGCATTGTTTTAGCTGTTGTGTTGCCTTAGTTTATCAATGCCAAAACCGCCTCGTTAATATAATTACATTTCAGTTCAGGCAACAGCTGAAACTGTGCAGAACCAGAACTAGTTCGAGCGTGTTTTGATTTGTACTGCGACTGCATTTGTTGTTAATAATTTCCTGCTGTTCTCCCACACTCCTCCTCCTCCAGCCATAGAAATACGTGTATTTAAGCAGCAGGTTTTGCATTCATTTGTAAGACAGTGCCAAAGCAGCCAGCACACAAACACGCTCTCCAATCTACAGAAGAACCGCAGCAGCAGCAGACAGCCGTCCCAGCCACAGAAATCACCGCCAGGCAGCAGCTATCCAGAAATGTCTCAACAACCTGTTGCTTTCCTGACTCGCAGCGAAACCTTTAGCGCCTGCCATCGGTTGCATAGGTGACGATCCGCCGATCCCCAGCACCACAATGAATCAATGAATTCAATTCAGTTGATTCAATTATATTTTGCCGCAGCAATTTAGTTCAATTTATTGACGCGTTCAATTTCTATTCGCAGCCCCCAATTAAGTGATGCCGAGAATCTGGAAGTGTTTGGCAAATGCAATAATTTCAATGGCCATGGCCACAACTACACAGGTGAGTGGCAGCCACAAAACAGCACAAATGCTTTCATTTTAATGCATGATTAGTTTGTGCAAATTGTGCAAATGATATCGTATAACCAACTGGCTTTAATCTGATATATGTAACCCAGTGACTGGGCGGGGTAATATGAGACACAAAATGTGTTTTACCATAGAAAACCTTGGCCGACAAGCTCGCTTATCAAAACCAGAATTCAAGTTCAACGCACAGGGGGCATACAAATGGGTATTATTAGACGGGGCGCATAGATAATGATGAATGTGGTTGGGGGAGATTAGTTTGGGATTAGGATTATGGACAGCCAAATGACGCAGGAGAGTGCAAAAATGCAGGGGATATCGTGGACCTGTTAATCAGGTATAAATCACTCGGACATACATCATCCTTGAGCAGCTTAAATATTCTAAGTATAAGGATTCTTTACCTTTTTGGTGTATATCTTTTTTTGCTATGCCAAAATTACACCCAACTAATGTGCTGCCCATTTTCCAACTCTTTTTCAGTGGAGATCACCGTTCGTGGACCCATTGATCAACGCACTGGCATGGTCCTGAACATAACCGAACTGAAGGATGCCATTGAGGCAGTCATAATGAAGAATCTAGATCACAAGAATCTCGACAAGGATGTGGAATACTTTGCCAAGACAGTAAATTATATTAGTAGCATAAATAAACTTTAGCCAAAATAATAATGCTCTGCCTTTTAGCCCAGCACCACGGAGAATCTGGCCGTGTACATTTGGAACAACATTAGGCTGCAGCTAAAGAAACCCGAACTGCTGTACGAGGTGAAGATCCATGAGACACCAAAGAATATAATTAGTTACCGCGGCCCCTATGCACTCAATGGCATCTATAATCCCATAAACAAACGCATTGCCCATGATTCCTGTACCAATATATCATCCGATTCGGATTAAAGAGAGAGACAGACATTGAGAGAGAGAGGTATGTGTGACCATTGCCTGACGAATTTTTATTTTGGACCCTAATGCTCAGTGAATACACGAAAAAAAACGACACTTAAATGAAAAAAAGAAAAAGAAAGACAGCAAATTTAGATTTATACAAGTTATACGAATTACAAAGTATATAGCAATTGATTTTTTATATATGCTTATTTTATGAATTATGAAAGCATTATTATATCCAATAAATATTAAATCAAAATATATTTTTCGTGAGATATCCGACAATCGTTTATTAAACATTAAATACATTTAATTAAATGTGTATAGGTATATATATATACTATAATCTACTTGTTATTATTATTATATTGTCTTAAGTTTAATGCTCTATATGGCAGGCTATACTTTTTTGGTTTTCTATCTATAAGTTTTTTGTTTTTTGTTGCTGTGTTGAGCGGAGGCTAAAAGGCTTTAATTTAGGCATTCCTTATACACCCCTTCAACACTTATTTATATCACGTTGTGTATGTCTATTTATCTTTATTTTATTGTGGAGAAAGCTCCTCCTAGTCCCCTGAAATCTTGTTTAATCCGTGCTTGTTGTCCCGCTCCCGCTCCTGCTGCAGGCAGTACAGTCTGCAGTAGTTAAGCCAATCTTTTGTATCTGTGGGATCAGGCAAATGGCAAATGGCATTTTGAAATCATATTTGTCGTTTTGAGCAAATTTCTACATCAGATTAGTCGTGTGTTAGTAATAGCTTAGCTAAGGATTAGTAGCGGTTGGGGGTTGGGGATTAAAACACTACAAATCAGGTACAACAAATGGAACAAAAATTGGGATAGGAACTTCAATCTTTAGCTGGAAGTCTTTGGGTTGGATTTATAAACATATCACAGCCTGTTTTTGAATACAGGAAAAACCAAACACAAGCATTTTGCTCTAGACTCTGACAACTGAAAAGCTCTTCTTGGGTTAAGGCTTAAGCCGGAATATCCTACGTACGTCTTTGGTTTTGTTGCTCTTTTTTTTTTTTTTGGATATGTCTTTGCACTCAACAACAGTTCTTTGGTTTTATATATCCTACAGATTGCACAACAAACCTTCAGGCTTTAACAGACTTTTTGCTTTTCACCATACAACCGCTCTCCTCCTCCATATCCTTTTACTATATATAACTATTAAACATTGTGCGCTACAATTACATATATCTATATCTATTCTATTAACAATTTTACGTTTTTTAAAGCATTTTTTGTATGGTATTTCCACGCTAGTTTGGTTGTTTGGTCATTTTTGGTTGTTGTTGCTGTTGTTGTTGTTGGTTAGATGGCGCTCCTTAGATGGTGCTGCGCAGTGTCTTACCTGGATTCCTAATGGATATAAATGGTATGCCAAATTCAAACTCATTCTTTGGCCAGTACTTGAGCAGCGGCTGCCGTTGCGGCAGCTCCGATTCCACATAGAAGTAGGCAAACAGCACGAGCACCGTATAGGCAGCAATGAAGATGAATATATGCCAGAAGCCATGCAGATACGGAAAGTTAATGGACGACCAGGCCTCGCAGAACATACGATCGTTGATCCAGCAGAAGACAGCCACAGCCCAAACGGTTGTGCAACGAATGCCCAAGCGATAGACACGCTGATCGCTGACTCTGTTTGGGAGGGATAAATTGAAAGAATAATGATATTAAATTTTGTTTCATGATTTATGTTTGAGAGGTTTTTGAACTTTGGTAGCAAGATGGGAGCATGAATAGCTGACGTTTCAACATTAAAGTGGTGCTAACAACGAGAGCAACAGCTTTAATTTCTTCTACTAGCTTTTTCTAGCAGCTGTTTAAAATATATTCAACTAATGCCGTCAGCAAATAATGTCATAATAACCGCAACTAAAGCTACGGCTACGGATCCGTAGCACTTTAGTATGACGAATTTTTAAGTAGCAGTCACATCTGTACTCTAGGCCACTCCAATTCATTACATCATTCAATCTAAAGCGTATTAAATGGCTTTAAAGAGACCCTTCTTGGCACAGTAAAATGATTTAAAATGTTTAGTTCTAGTCATGTCTCGAACTCCGGCGGTTTATCGAACCCTTCTTCCTGCGCTATGCGTGTGTTTCACACTCCAAACTGTTTTATCCCTTGGGAAAAAATACTTTGTAAAGAGTGCTGCCTGCGAAATACCCTACATTAATCCTTTTACCGACGATACGATGAAATACTTTCAAATTCGTACGTTGAAGGAGTGCCACAATGACAGCGATCTGGTGACAAGTGAATTTGACTTTGAATTCAATCGATATCGCCTGCATGTACACGAGCATCTGGCGAAGCGAATGATAAATGGATCAAGCGGTAATGCTACGCTGGAATGCAAATATCGAAAAATTGGTAGAGATGAAATTGATGAGAGACCCGACACTACCTACAGGTGGGTGAAAGTGCGTGTAAATGTTTGTATGTATGCCAGCAGCTAATCCAATCGAATCCTTTCTTGCAGTGAATTTAGGAGCCGTGCCCTACCAGATAACTTTTTGGTGCCCAGGCACACGGACTTCATGATCACCAAATGCTATGTGAAGGAGGAGGAAAAAATGCCGAAACTGCTGCAAACAGATGGGCTGCCCTTCATTGAGGATCATCTCCGAAAGAAGGAGGCAAAAGCCTATGCCAAACAGCACCAGAAGCAGCAGCAGAAGAACCCCAAGCCCAGCGTCTTAATCATGGGCCTGGACTCCACTTCACGCATGAATCTGCGACGTACCATGCCGCTGGTCTACGAATATGTGAGTCAACCGGGCTGGTTTGAGATGCAGGGCTACAGCAAGGTGGGGGACAACACCTTTCCCAATCTGTTGGCTGTGCTGGCGGGACACTCACCCAAGACACTTGCGAAAATGTGCGACGTGTTGACGATCGGCTGCCTGGACACTATGCCCTTCATTTGGAAGCGATTCAAGAGGTTCAACTATACAACAGCCTATGCTGAGGACTGCAAAAAAATCAACACATTCAACTACCTCATGCCGGGATTTAGAGAGCAGCCAGTCGACTATTATTTGCGTCCCTTTCTTGTGGCCATTGAGGAAAACTTTCCAGTGACCAAAGAATTTGGAATGGCCTACTGTGTGGGTCGCCGTTTGAGCTTCGATTATGTGTGGGACTTTGGCCAGCAGTTCATCGATCGATTCATTAAGAAACGAAACCTGTTTGGTTTTCTTTGGAGCAACAGCTTCACCCATGACGACTTTACGGGAGCCACCGCTTTGGATCAGCTCTTTCGAAAGTATCTGCAATCATTCGAGGCGTCGGGACTCTTTGAGCGTTCGATTGTGATCGTAATGAGCGATCATGGCCATCGGTACGGTGCCCTGAGGAAGGCGGCCTACGGCTACTATGAGGAACGATTACCCATGATGTTTATCTATGTGCCGCCCTGGTTCCGTCAGAAGTATCCCCATTTGGTGGATAATCTGAGGAAGAATCGCAATCGTTTGTCATCGAACTACGACTTGCACATGACCTTGCAACATCTGCTGCAACTTGAGCGGAGCACTTCCATGGCGGATTTCGCCAAGCAACACAGATCTGTGGCGTGTCCAAGCTGTCAATCGCTGCTCTTCGAATTACCCTTCAATCGGTCGTGCCAGCAGGCGGGCATTGAGGAGAAATGGTGCTGCTGCCATCCCATCAAGACCCTCAAGAAAAACGGCTTTGTACGAACCATTGGCCTGGCCGTGGTCCGCCACATGAACGACCATCTGAAGGTGCGAAAACTCAGCCACATATGCCACAACTTTACCCTCACGCATGTGCACAAAATAGACCGCAAGTTGGATCTACCCACAGACGACAACAACCTGGAAAAGGACGAACATGTCTACATCATGCAGTTCTGGACACGACCCAATACGCCGCGCTTTGAAGCCACATTTCGATGGAACTATCGCAAACATAAACTCCACATGGACGTGGATGATCTCAGCAGATTGAATGCCTATAAAAGCGATTCCGATTGCATCTTTGACAAGATAGCAGAGAAATATTGCATATGTAAGGATAGCATAAGGAACATAATCAGGCCTCGGAAAAGAACAGCAAAGCAAATAGATATGCGTATTTTTCACGGCTGAAATAAAGCTATAAGTGACACAAAATTCCGTTTTCTAACAGATTTGATAGATCTAAGAGATAAATCTGAGCTAAAGGCAGTCAGAGACATGTAGAGCTATTTATAAGCCATCAAAAAACCATCTATAAAATAGTATAATGTTTATCCTTTACGAAATATACGTTCCCACGTTCAGTTACACAAATTTCAGGACATGCAGCAGCGCTCCTCGGTCGTTTTGGTTTTCAAACCACTTTAGACAGTCGGGAAGCTGTAATATTATTTATATGAACGATCTATTTTATAGACTAATCACATTCAGATTTTTTAAAATACGTTTCGCGCGTTATGCAGCAGCGCCCCTCGGTCGGTAGGACTGGCTTTCTGCCGGGAATAACAAATTATGACAAATCTGCAAGTGCTATAATAATAAAGCAAGCCCCAATGATTCAGTAATAAATTAGTTTCCACTTCTCTCGCTTTAAAAACTGTCTAAAAAACAGTAGCCTATCTCTGGGAGTCTAACCAGCAAACTTCCAACTTTTATGACAATTATAAAGCCCACAGAGACTATCGCTCAAACAGTAGTCAATCTTCCACAGTAAAACCCATCAGCGAGGCCTTAAGTGGGCCAACCTACGGCATTATCTATATGACACTCGAAAGTTGAGTGGTAAAACTCTAAAATCATTATAATGATTGATTAATAGCATGAGGTTTTTCCGCAGAGAAAGCAGGGAAACACCTTTCCGTAAAAACATCAGGGAAACTGATTGCCAAACAGAAGGCAAAGAAAACCTTCATTCCACTTAGGAAACAGGGAAACTGGAAAACACCTTGCTGCACATAAAGCAGGGGAACACCGTTTCCGTTTGATCTTTGACCCACAAAATATATGGTAAAAATTGAACAAACATTGCGATAGGGTGAAACTAATTTCACAATCCCTGTGTGGGGAACAACCAATTCCAGGTAGAGATATCACAGACAGACACACATTACTACCGATAAGGTAGATGTCTGATGATAGATGGATGGATAGATTTATGGGGGCTCTGGTGCGGCGCGGGTTCGTTTCGGGTCAGAGCTAAAAACTGCTGGTTACCTTTGAAGCTCTCTGTATAGCATTAGCATGGTCGGCACACCCATGGACATAAGTACAAAGGCATTAACGATGGGCTTCCACCAAGATAGTGCCGTGGCGGCAATCGCCGACAGCAGCATGAGCCAACTAAATGTTTTCCTAAAAGATAAAATAAAGTTAGGCCGGCTCGCAGATAGTAAATGTCTTTTTTCTGTATAAATACTCACCGATCGTTTTTAACAAACTTGGGATAGTAACGCTTGGGATAGAACAGAGAGAAGGCCGCCATAAATACCCAGAGTATGGCCAGTTCATCGAGCAGTTGGCCAATCAAACTTAATGTGGCATGAAAGTACATTGAACTAAGTCCAACGACGATTAGTAGCAGCCAAATCACATGTATGCCAGGGGTCACAAAGCGTCCATACTCCTTGAACAACATCATCAGCACGGGGGGTAGTAGAATGAATAAGAAATTGCTAAACTGTAAATGGAAAAAAAAAACAGATTAGATGGGAATTAGTGGTAGATAAACTAGATATTGCAAGGCAACAGAAATGTCTTTAAAGTCAAAAGAAACAAAGGGTTTCAATGGCATTTCTGTGCAAAGTTCAAACAGAAACAGTTCCCTCCTTTTGTCTCCCTTTTTGCTGTGTAAATAAATTTACTTTCTATCTCTATTTTGTACGTGTCATTCAGTTTGTCACGTTATTTACAGTGTTAATTGAATTAATTGCAATTAATAATTATTTTGTGTGGGCAACAAAGCGAGAACTGAAGCAATTATCACACCCACAATATCTATGTGAGGCAAAACATTTTCATATTCATGTTCTATTGAAATAATTGATAACGAAGTGGGGCTAGAAAAGGGGAGAGTCACTCTAGATAGGAGTATGCATATACATACATATATGAATATACATTTTATTACAACTCTTGACTTTGTGATTTCATCAAAAATAATGCCACTCGGCTGCTTTTGTTGTGAAGTGCAGGCAAGTGGGGTCATTCACATTACTTGAGCAACTCCATTTAAACAAAGCCAAAATGCGTTTTAAACAACAGTCCCACACAATCACCACCCACCCCACCCCACCCCTGACGATTGCTCACTACAACGAAAATCAATTTAAAGTCCCACAGAATGTGGCCTGTGGTCGTTAGCAAACGGAAGGCTCCCAATCCCCAGGCGTATCACCATTAATTCCCTTTGGCGTTCTATGGCATATAATTATCCAAAAGTTTTCCATTTCCCTTAGTTGTCCAGTCGAATACACAAAGAAGCGTTGATGATAATGTGTGACCGTTTGGACATAATATTATGAGTTGTATTTCTCCATTAAGTGGGGCTATAATCGGGGTAGAGAGTGCTCTAATTTGATAACCCCTTTGGGGGTCAAAGCTTTTAAAAACATTGCGAGAATTGTAAAATTGTATAATTATTTGTAAGCAATAAAATAGATGCAATTGCTTGTGAATTAAGTGTGAAAATGGCAGGGCTTGTGGGAAAAATAATACATTTATATATAGAGGTGTGACATTGGGTAGAAATATACCTAAAGGGATTCGTTTCTGAAACCAATGATAAATGGTCTAATTTCTCTTCATGGAATAGAATTCAATATCCTTTCATTAAATTCATTAAAATTACCTATAGATGGTCATTCCCTAATTGATTACTAAAGGTCAAAACTATACCTCTAATTGAAGATACTCTATCTATTCCTTCATTAATATATTAAGTATTAAGCCCCTACATTCCCTAGAAATAGTCAACATACAAGGGAAGATCTTTGTCTAATATTTGGAGTGGACTTTATGGCGTCATACGTTTCTTCTTTGTTTATTAAAACCCTGGCTCTCTATAGGCGGTCAGGTTTGTGCCGATTATTACTAGATAACAAAGAATGAATGTGAGCGAGCCACAGTACCCGGTACCATCCCCCCCCCAGGTATATCATATAAAGGTTGAGACTTCAGCAGTGCGTAGTTTAATGGGAAATGTAACCCATAAATGTTTAGACTGTAGACCCTGGTACCCCCGGGGCACCCATTGAGGTGATAAGAATAGGCAAAATTGCCGCACTGCGAAATGGCGATTTAGTTGAGGAAAACAGAAAAGAAAAGCCACTTGTGCCTAAGGAAAAACTTGGCTCCACACAAAGCCCAACCACCCCACCACTGTCAAAGCGTGTCAAACAGATAGCCTTGTTCTCATTTGAACTTCCGCTTACATTTGCTTTGAATGTGGAATTATTCCACAAGAAATGGCTGCTATTTGCGTCAAAGAATGTTTTGGTTGGACTTTACACTGAATGCGTTATAATCCTCAAAGATTAAAATGCATCAGTTGCCCTTTCTTAATTGCACTTTCAATCAAAATAAGCGAAAATGAAACTGGGAACAAGAGAAATCATATTTTGCATGCATCTGCATGTCTCTGCCACACCTGCCTCCATCCTCTTTCTTCCCTCAAGACGAAGCGTGGCTAACAGCATCATTACAATTGCATTGCATGTGGTCTCGCTCTGGCCTGCGGAAAAAGGTCAAGGCCTTGGCACAGCGCGTGTTTAAGCGTGTCTCTGTGTGTGTGTGTGTGTGTGTTTGTGTTTTGAATGCGAGTGCAAGGGAGCAGCTGCCTTTTGTTACAGTAAAACCGAAGGAAAAGACTAGGGCTAGCTACAGGTAGCGAAGTCTTTGGTACCCTTTCAGAAACTGCCTTTCGATTATTTTTTTTACAAACTAAAAAGTTGCTCACAAAAAGACCTTGTTTTTTAAACGATTTTTACTATAGAAGATAGATTCCATAATGGAGTTGAATATTCTTTATTCCCTATTGGCAAACTCCTTCTCAAACCCAGACTACCGCTTCATTCAAGACACAACAGAATAACTAGGGCAAAAACACAAACACACATATGTATATATTTACATAATATTTATTCTATAATATATATTTACACAAAAATAAATTGCTTATACGCACCGTATTCACAAACTCGGCTATATTCGATGATATTAAATAATTGCCCTCACACCAATCAACGGGCGAACTTCCGGGTCTCAGATGCTCCCAGGCCATGGCATAAATGTCCAATAAACTGCCACCCCCCACACTGCCCAGCCCTCCACCACCAGCACCACCCATGCTGCTGCTGCTGCTGCTTCACGTCTTTGTTTGGAATTAAAAGAGTTCGGTTTTGAAATTATTTTAGCTGTCGCGTTGCAAATTCGATTTGTCGCTGTTTTAATGCGAGATGAAGGCACTTTTGAAGTTCTTTGTTGCTGTTGTCGCTGCAATTTGCATAATGGCACTGCACTGCAGTCATTTGCGTTTCTTTGTTGATAATTTCGTGACCTGCATTTATTCTGTTGCGCCTTTAATTCGATAATTATATAAGAAACGGTAAATGCTGCTCTCCATAGGTTGACCTCCTTCCCTATAAATTTCTCAAGCGTACAAAATGTATGCTATGCTAAGGCGGAGTAACGAACAAAAAAAAATTTGAACTTGAAACAATATAGCGCGCCAGAGCTGACACAACCGACAGCCGCGAGAACAATAACAAATGAAATTGTTTTTAACCGTCGGAACAGCTGTTTGATATACATATCGTGCTTGTATCATCGCTTAAGGGGTATCGATCTATCGTGCGCATCTCTTGATGCCATGACACACCACACTACACTACACTACACTTTTGTTTTGCACAAAATTTGCATTAAATTTGGTTTAAATCAATTAAATAATTCATCAAAAATAATTATAAACACGTAGAAAAAGTAGTAATTCATCAAAAATAATTATAAACACGTAGAAAAAGTAGAAGAAATATTAGATCAGATCAGTAAAGTCCAAAATGCTCGTCAGTGGAAACGAGGCGATATATATGAGTCGACTATTCGATATAACGTATTATCGAATAAAACGAAACATCAACTTAAGTTTTTGCCATCACTAGACGCCTACAAATAAAATAAAATAAAATTAAATTAAATTATAAGGCAAAATGACCTCAAACAGTATGCCTGAAGAGAATTTTGAAGGGGGAGATGTAAGCAAAGTGTTTATTCTATTATTTGCACGTTCAAATATTCTCTTTTGTCTTGTTTTAGTTCAACTTTGAGGACGATGCCGATGACGAGCAATTGGTGGCAAATTGCAATTCTGGAAGGAAGCGCCTTTTTAGCAAAGTGGGTCGAATTAACTATATGTAGCTCGTATAATTGTTATGTTTTGCTCGCCCCCCGCAGGAGTTGCGCTGCATGATGTTTGGCTTTGGCGACGATAAAAATCCCTACACCGAGACAGTGGATTTGCTGGAAGATCTGGTTATAGAATACATAGCAGAGACGACACACCGGGCCATGGAAATTGGGCGGACCGGTCGAGTGCAAGTGGAGGATATCATCTTTCTGGTGCGCAAGGATCAACGCAAATACGCTAGGGTCAAGGACTTGCTGACGATGAACGAGGAGCTGAAAAAGGCGCGAAAGGCCTTCGATGAGATCAAATACGTGGGCAACGAGGGAAAACTCAAATGACACAGGCACAAGAAAACCAAGTCCAGGCATACCCAAAGCCAGTCCTAGCGTTAAGTTTAGATTTGAGATAAATGGTCTTTAATACTGTAGCAATAAATTAATCAAAATAGTCTTCAATGTCAATATCTGGATTAAGTATATCATCGCCATACGGCTCCAGATCGATGCCATTTAGTATTAGATTCTCGCAGGTCTCCGCCAGATCGGTGTCGCCAATCAGTATGGCACCGCGAAGTCTTCCATTTTGCAGCACAAACTTAATGTATTCCTTATTGCGGGTACAGCGCACCAGCAGCTCATAGTCACGGCCCAGACCCTGGCCATTGAAGCGTCCCAGGAGCACTACAGGGTAGCCAAACAGCTGCGTCACATGGCCGAAAAGCTCAAAAGAAAAGTCCTGATAAATGGTCTCTCCCTCGAACGCGGCGGCCATGCTGCGTCCCGCCATGGAACCCATTTGCCTGGCCTGTGTCCACAGGCGCATTTGGAACCAGTGGGGAGCAGGCTCCCAAGCAGCAGAGCAAACATCGCCCGCCGCATAGACATCTGGCAAATTGGTCCTCATCATTTCGGCCACAGAAAGCCCGCCATCGTCTGCTAATTTTGGCGGCAAATCTGTGGCAAACTCATGCCGTGGCTCAACGCCCGTTGCAGACACAATAAAATCACAAGTCAACTGCTCCTGGCTACCATTCTCATGTCCAAGCTTAATACTAAGTCTTCCCTCCTCTGGGAGCACGTGGTAGTCCTCAATGTGCGATTTGTAGTACATTGTGGGCAGGACTTTGCCAGCATCTTTGGAACCGCCACTCAAATCGTAATTGCTATGCCAGTCCGGGCCCAAGGCGGCGCCCTGCTTGCTCTCCTCCTTCTGGTGGGGCGTCTCTTCGCCATAGCGCATCCGTTTGATGGCAGTTTCCGTGACTGTGGGCACATCCAGCTCACTTCTGGCCAGCTGAAAGAACTCGGCAGCGCCCGGATCCACAAAAGTGGCGGATATATGGGAATCTTTCACCACCCAGTGGACATTTACATCCTTCAGCTCGTAGGCCAGCTCACTGGCGATGCCTCCATTGCCCAAAATCAAGACATCCTTGGCTGTGAGCAGTCGCCTTTGCAGTTCCAGCACGGAATCCGTATCGCGAATGCCAATGATGCGTGACTCGGCTTGGCCGGTGCTGAATAACTTTGGTGCTCCGCCGGTGCACACGCAGATGTAGCGATACTTTAGTATTTGACCCTTCTTGGTGCGTGCCCAGTGCTCGCTGCTGTTGATGTACTCCAGTTGGTCCACAATTGTGTCTATGCTGGCGCCAATTTCCTTCACATCTTTTTCCCGCACATCGAATTTGTGCAGATAACGGGCGACGGGCACGAGATTCGTAACGCTCTTCACAATGCTGGATTCAGTAAGCAGCAAAATGGACGTTGAGGGGCAGCAAATGGCCAATGTTTCGGCACAGCTAACACCGGCAATGCCGCCGCCAACGACCAAGAAGATGCAGTCGCGCGACATTTTCCAAAAGAAAACAGAATAAAAAAAACAATAAATAAAGAAACAGCTGGTGCTCAATCTAACCTCAAAATAACAGTGGAACCTAGACATGACGACGCTTTCATTTAACAATCGTTTATTTAAACATGATTAACTAATATTAGGACTTTTGCTGGCCATAGAACTCGTTGTAGTCGTACTCTCTGAATGGCACATCGTAGGTAATAAGGCCAGAATCCCGGGCCTGCTCCACCGCCACTTTCAAACGCAAATGACTCTTCTGGCAGAGACCCGTCTTCGAGTAGCTGAGCACATCGCCACTGTGGGGCGATATAAACTGCTCCAGCAGTTGCGTGTTGCGGTAATCCAGCACAAGATACTCATCCCGACAAATGGGACAAGGATTGCCGGTGGAGATTTTGCCCTGGCGAATGCAGGTCTTGCGGGTCATACGCGGCGCATACATGCCTTTGTGGTTGCGCCTACGGGAGGGAGTAAATATCAGTGTAATCTTTGCCAGCGTAGTGTCCCAAGAGGACGTCCTACCGATATTGAGTCCACACGTAATCCTCGCCATAGGTCTGCTTGTAGGCGGCACTCTTCAGATAACGTATTGATGTCTCCACGGGTATCACTTGGGTGCGATCTTTGGGGTCCGGGCCAGAGCTTGTTGGCTCCTCTTCGCCATCGCCGGCCCCTGCTTCGTTTTCCGCTGCTGCTGCTGCTGCTGTTTCTGCCTTGCCCCTGAAGGCGCTAACTGTGTGCAAAGTAGCGCCCCGGCTGCTGCGCGTTATGCTAGCCAAGCCAGTGAATATCCCTCGCGCTATGGGCAACATTTTTAGTGAATAAAACTAAATTTAGTTAGTTTCTAAAAACGCAACCGACGTAACTAGCAGAATTTGTGTGACCAGATTTATCGTCTGACACTCATATACCGAAATATACCTTTTCATTATCAAAATATACCGTAAATATACTGACTGACACGATGATATTCCTCTATTTTGATATTCGATTTAATATTACTAGCTAGTTAGCCCTTTCAGCCCTAAACATATAATTTTATGCAATTCCTCAATAAATTTTGTTTAGGATTGGCTAGTTTTCAGAACTATTTTTCATTGGATTGTTTACATATTAAGGTTCAAACAAAAACGGCCAAAGCATAAAACGTAAATGTTGACGAAATGTGACGTCAGTGTTGCTGGTCAACCAAGTTTCTTTTATGCGTATGTACTTTTGTATACCTTATTTCTTTTAATTGATGTTAAATTTGATGTTCGAAGCTCCATTGAAACATTATTTATGATTTTATCCTAGATTGACATGTTTTTTTACCTATTAATGCAAATGTTTTGTGTTTTATAAATACATTTATCCCGGTTCTGATACCTATTATTGGTACCCACGGCTGCAAAATTTCGTTAATATCTTTAAAACAGAGACTGAGTAGTTTCTGCATTAATTGGATCCTGAAATTACAAACAATATCTCAAGCCCATAATATCCATTTTCCCAAGGTATTCAGATTGTTGCTCATCCCGTGACAAAGTTGCACAACAATGCTGCCTCTTCATATCCACATGTTGCTGAATTTTTTCCCATACAAATCAAATGTATCTTACGGGAACGCGTATGGAATGACGCAACAATGAATCTTCATTCCATACGCGTTCCCGTAAGAAACATGTTTCTCACACCACGAAAAGTCACCACGAAAAAGAGAGCAAATTTTGAGAGCGAAAAATGTCAGTATTTTTTGTGCTTGGCGGTCATTTTAAAAAGTATCTTAATATATTAAAAAATAAATTGGAACTTGATTAAATAATATACCGTAAATATACTGACGGACACGACAAGATATTCCTCGATTTTGATATTCAGTTTAATATTACTAGCTGGTTAGGAGTTAAACAACTGAAAATATCATATTATCAGATAGATGATTCAATCTAGCTTATTTAAAGTATTCCCTTATATTGGATTACCTATAAAAAAAGGTGTAAACAATGAAGGTCATCAAAAGTGCCATACGTTTCCATGACCCCAGTCGAAAGAGAGTACTCAAAATGCTCTCCCGACTCATTTTAGCGTTTTAATAAGAAAATATCGATAGTTCGAACGATAGTTGGCGGTAACAACCACTTATTTTGAAACAAGCCCATGTTCTTTACTATATCTCTAAAATGGTACATAAAAGATTCATGAAATTGATTATATATACCGCTATATACCTTTAGTATACCTTGAACTCAATTTCTCAGTCAAAATATCCCGAGATCCGAAAAAACAACTAAAAGTATGGACTAGATCTGCAAAAACATCGAAAATTAACCCTGGGTAGACATTGCTATTTAAAAATTAACGTCTAATGGTCTTTTAAAGACATAATCTTCCACTCTCTCCCCTTCAGTCTACATTTTAAGCGAAATCTAGTTTAATACCATTACAATGAAAATAAATGTCGATTTAATTTCTTTTTATTATAATCTTTTAATTAAAAAGAAAACATCGCCAGTCTCCATCCCTGTCGATACTTTCCGTTGGCGCGAGAGTTAAATGTCAAAATTCTACAAAATCTATAATAATAATAATGTGCTAAAATTATTTCGCTGAAATAACGTCTAAAAACGTGAGTAACATAATGGTAAACATGTACGTCACACAAACCACACACACGTACGGGAAATGTAGCATGAATGAAGAGCTAAATGCCGCCAGTGTCCGTTTTAGTTTTAGTTTCTTTCGGATTTTACTGGTGCAAAGTAGCGTTGACTGCAAGCGGAAACGGAGTGTCGTGTCGTCGTCGTCGTCGTCGCCAGTGCGTGGTGTTGCTGTAGTTGTTGTGTTGTGTAGTGTGGTGTGGCGGGGCAGGAAGGCCCTAAATCACGTGTACAATAAAAGGAACCTCGTACTGCCAGCATTTGTTTGCTACTTGCCGTGCGGGCATACGACACAAGCGCCAGGCGTTGACGTACCCGGGAGTTGGTCGCGTCGCCGTAATCCATCCCAATACTTGGTAGTAATACCCACCAGTAGTTTCGCTTGCGTGCATGCATAAATCTGTTGTTTGTTTTAATCAATATCGGAGCAGACGGTCATTTCGATTTTAATTGTTTCCAAGTAAAAACTAGGCCCAACCAACTAGAACTAGAACTAGAAGAAGCTAACACACAAGTCCAAGTAACAGTAACAGGGTCTGGTCGAGCCTCAAACGGTGAGTCAGGTGAGAGCGAGAAGCGCTTTGCTTTATAAATAGAGAGACCCCGCCGTAATAGCTGGGCAATATGCATGCCATGCCGCCGCCGCACAACAATTTCTTATCAATTGCAAAAACAGAAAAGCTGCAAAATAAAAAAAGGGCAACGCAACTAAAATAATAGTGCTATAAATACCGCTATGTGAGCCGCAAGTTTGAATGAGCGAAAGAGCGAGTGTGTGCGGTCAACCCAAAAAGGCAGGCGGCTGACAAGTACAGGGTGGCGTCGGCACCACCCCAGACACGGACACCGAGACACTCTTACGCCTCGTAGTTGGATGGCTGCGGAGTGCCTTTCGTGCATTTCGTGTAATAAATTGCTATTTTCCTTCGGCGCCACAAACGAAAATCGTGGTTACATTGTGCCAAATTAATACCTGTTGGCTGTGTGGCGGTGCGGCGTCCCCCCTTTTTATTTTTATGCCTTTTTATGCCAAACAAATTATGTGATACGATTGGATCGACTTTGAGAGTACTTCGTGAGGAATTTTTGCGTATTAAAATGGGATCCTAAAGCCCGCTTTTAAATGTTTCACTTTATCTGGCATGATTATAACTTATAATGTTTTAGCCAGATTAAAGTTTAGTATATTCCTCGATAAGGCGACGTTCGTGCACAATAATTAAATTAATAGATTAAGATAGTCGAATGGTTTTTATTGGAGCGGATTAAAGTAGTTTTAAGCCCCTTGCGTACAGGTTGTAGCAGCTTAAAGTGGAATTAAGAGCTTGACTGAAATTAAAGGTTCCATCAGAATGGTAGGAGTAATCCAAAACACCGCTGTATTATAGTTTACCAAAGGTAAAAAATACTCTGACTAGAATTTAGTTCTTCCCATAATACACTCCTCCATTGGTAACTGGGTAACTGGGTAACAAAAAAAACCCAGCAAAGGCGTCACCAGAGTCGACGCCAAATAATAATTTTGTTGTCGCCGTTTTCACATACAACATTTCGGTTTCTCATTTTACTTCCGCCCTATAGAGAGGGTAGGGTCTTCCCCCGACCGACGCCCACTCCTCCCTCCTAGCACTTGGCATTTATTTTGTGAAATTAGAATCAGCGCTCTACTGGTGTTTCTTCATGCCTTCTTTTGTTTACCCTGCGCTCTCTGTTGCACGTCAAAAGGCAATGTTTGCCTATGGCCCCACAGGGCTTCAGTCACTACCCAGATTATAGAGCTTTGCTTTTCATGTCCTTCGTGTCTCCGTTTTCTCTCGGGGGATTTAAGTAATATTTGTGAACGGCCCACGCGTGTGCCATCGCCAGTCTGTCAATTCCACGTGAAGTTTCTTACACTCGGAGAGGGTCGCATAAGGTCAGTAGCAGCTGGTGGGCTGCTTTATCAATAAGTTGTTGCCAGTTTTGATTAATGGGTTTTTTTTCGTTCATTCTTTGTGTGGGACGCAAACGAGGGACACGACATTCCATTCCACTTCCTAATGGCCAGAGTTCGAACACACTTCAAGTATAATTTTCCCTTATAGATGTCCTGTTATAAATGACCTAATTAATGTAATTATATTTATTTTATGCATTTTGAATGAGCTTTTAATTAATTAAATATGTGCTATAATTTGGGTGTAGTTTGTGGAATTATTTGTGTCTTTTATAAGGTTCTATAGCTGTGCGGCTTTTATGGTTTGTTTTTTACAATCATAAACAGGAAATTATTGATAATTCCACTGATAAAGTTCGAGGAATTAGCTACCTCTACTGGTCACGATTAACTACAGTACAACTTCTGATATGTCTACAAAAATAACCACCTTTATTTACAGCACAAGGCTCTATTCGTTTTTATTTATTAAAGTCTAAATGGAAACTGGTTTACATTTCTGTTTATGCGCCATTTGTTACAGACAGAAAAACAACTCTTGGATAACATAAAGAATGTTATAACAAAGAAACAAATGGCCTGCCAAAAATACAATCCTTTCGGACCCAGAACCCAAACCTAATTCAACGGATAGGATAGATAGGGATAGATATAGAGATAGCGTTCACAACAATTTAAATACCAATTTGCCTAATTAAGGCACCTTTGGCGCCGCGCCTCTGCCACTGGCTGACAACTCATTCGAGTGGGTTCCATTCCCAATGGGACCTGCCGTAAGCCCAAAAATATTGCGTGACATGTCGCCCCATTCGGTGGCAGGTAGGTATAGGCAGCAGGGGTATTACTGTGCAGACGGTGTGGGATCTAGTGCAGTTGGAGGGACACCAACTAATGACATCAACGCCGCAATGTGCTGTCCAGAGGTCATTCGTTGACACCCTCTGAAGCGAAACACTGGCGCTCCTCCTGCAATAACAAAAGTTGTTGGAAACAATTTCAATGTACATATTTTGTATAATATCTTCGCCCAGCCGGTTAAATTACTTGCTTTATTTCCCATCCAAATCATAAGTAATGCATGGTGGAAAAAGGACTTCGGCAGGATCCATCTGTTGGGCTTCCCAAGCCCCATGGCCTGACATTGAATCCAAACACCACGTTAGTCAGGGACAGTCCTCAAGGCCCTCAAGTTGTTTCGTTTCGTTTCATTTCGGTCATCAAGCTCCGCAGTTAAGCAACAAATTTTTGTTCTTTCATCAACAGACCATGGCGGGTAAGAGCGACAAGGAAATTCTGGCCAACTCCATGTACGAGGATGATCCCAATGGCAATTCAGCGCCAGCCACAACCAAGGACCAAGAATCGCATCAGAGGCAGGAGGTACTCAAAGCGACCAATGTGGCGCCAACTCCACGTTGGGGACCACAGAACAAGGGCGCCCAGGAGCTGGCCTCTTTGTACAGTCCAGGTGAGAATGGATATATGAAGCTGTAAGCAAATACAGATTGAATCAAATTTTGCTTACCTTAGGAAAGCGAGCACAGGAAATCATTTGCGTGTACACCTGCATTGGCCTCATGATCATCAATCTGATACTGATTGTGCGACACATGCGACTGGAGAGGATTAGTGTGGCCATTGTGTCCGCATTGTGTGGCATCATAACGGCAGACTTTGCCTCTGGCTTGGTACACTGGGCAGCAGATACCTGGGGCTCTGTGGATTTGCCACTGATTGGCCGGGTATGCTGGCTGTTGTTGCTTTTTATTTTTATTTTATTTATTTATTTTATTTTATTATTTGTCAGAATTTCCTGCGTCCGTTTCGCGAACATCATCTGGATCCCACATCCATAACGCGACACGATTTCATTGAAACGAATGGCGACAACTTTATGGTTGGAATACCCATCCTTGGATATTTGGCGCACTATTTCTACATTCGATCGCCCAGCGAGATTCAGTTAAATTTTGGCTGGATAGCCTATGTATTCCTATGCTCCATATTTGTGGCCATGACCAATCAGGCGAGGATTCATCTATATATATATTATTTGCATTGTGGACAATAATTCGAATTTAATGATTTTGTAGATACACAAGTGGTCGCATACTTACTGGGGTCTGCCCCGATGGGTGCTGTTACTGCAAAGCTGTCACATTATTCTGCCAAGGAAGCATCATCGCATCCACCATGTGGCACCGCATGAGACGTACTTTTGTATAACCACAGGCTGGTTGAATTGGCCGCTGGAACGTATAAGGTTTGGGTGCACTACACCATTCCATTTACTTTCGTGTGTGAATACATATTTATGCTCACATTTTCAGATTCTGGTCTACTTTTGAGCTTGTTATTGAGCATTTTACGGGCCTTAAGCCACGCGATGATGATTTGAAATGGGCCAAGAAACTCACATAGGGCTTGGCTTGGCTTTGCTGCCCTGCCCCACAACGACTGTATATATATATATAGGAAATCCTGGACCAAAAGCAGCCTTATTTATATATCTGACAAAATGTTATTTTGCACAACAAAAGTAGCTTTAAATGTATGTTAAGTTAACTGAACAGAACGCAGTTTTATTAGTTTTATTAGCATACGAGAAATGTTTGTTACCAACATGAAATAGTTGAGAAGCCTTGGACAGGACAACACGTTGCAGTAGACACTAGAGAGCGCATATAAAGAACCACATTCACTGATCTCTTCTAAGAGTGAGAGCCTTACTATATAACGAGCTAAAAGAAACGCTTGGTAATAAATATATAAAAAAACATTTTGATAACTTTACAAGAAAGACAACAAAGTACATAAAACATAATAACACTTATGGATAAGCTTACACACACAGATCAAATGATTTTTATACCCAGATTCTAAATGAAAGACATTCTCAATACATTTCATCATTGCCTGCACACATACATACGTAGTTACATACATATATACAAAAGATGATATATTATATACAAATTGTTACGATTATACGATTAGGCGCTGTATGCAATCAAGAATGTGACTTACAAAACGATTTTTACTCGTCTAAGAGGCATACACAAATGTTTTGGCATAAGCTACTATAAAATAATAACAATAACATATTTTTTTTAGTATGCACTCTTTTAGTGGCATGTATTAACTTTAGTATAATCTGAAAATGATGAATTTCTTTTTTAATATACATTAATTTGTTACCAAAAAAGAGCCAGCTATTCGCATCTCTCTAGTCGCTTAGGAAAATTGTTTTGTACACTGTTAAGGAGAAGGAGGCAGAGTCTTCGTCGTTGTTGTTGTTTTGTGAAGCGTGTCAGCAGCAATTGCTTATATCATTTAGCACACTAAATTCTAAGAGAGCAATATTAATTGTGATGCAAGTAAAATAAATTATGATCCTAATTCAACTAGAATTTACTCAACTCTTTATTGAATTGAATTGGTATTTGAAGCTTGTGGAAAATATATATTGTTATATTTAAACACAATCGGAGGTGAGCGCGTCTATAAATGTCTCTCCCATTTTTAATACATTTTTAAGACATTGTCTTAGAAATCTACACATAAATCTGTGCCTAAAGTCCATAGATTTCCATTATTTTTTATTTTTTAGATCACACTTATTTATGGCATAACGATAATCAATTTTAATTTCTAGTTCACAATTTGTTTTCTGGCAGATATGTTCCAGCTAAGTTAAAAAGTCAACGTTTTGCAAATCCCCTTTGGTAACAAGCTGGAAATTTGGTAACTTCTTTGACGCTGTGACGGCAGCAGATGGATAAAAAAAGTCACGCATGCCGGGTTTCCCTGGCTAAGATCATTCAAATGAAACATAAATTAAAATTAAACACGTTTATCTCTCGAACATCGATTGGGATAGTTTTGATCACCTTATTCACTATTAATATCGGGATCGCAATTAACTGTTTTCTTTCTTTTTAAAACTGGAGGAATTTTGCAAGCAAAGTTGCCAGGTACAAAACTCTGATACGACTTAAAAAAGGCAACGTTTCAGGAATCTGACCTGGTAACAAACTGAAAATGTTAATTTTAATCTTACATGACCTTCTTTGTCGCATCTTGCTGTATGGTAAGCAAGAGCTTTATGAATTAGAATATATGTATCATAAATACCTTGACTACCCAATAGCATGAATGTGATATAAGCAGGGGAAATACACAAACCTTCTTTAGTACGATACAAATATCTAGCCTGTCAAAACAGTACAGGGATGTAAAGCGATCAAATACATAAAAAAAAATTACGAATTGTGTATGTATCACCTTATCAATAGTATTCACTTATATAGGTATTTTTCATGAAAAGTTGAAAGAAGTCATTCAAAGTCATGAAACTGGGGAAATTGGGAATTCGTCGATTAGTCATATCCTGAAGTAAGACTCGCAAGGCCGGCATGAGAATAAATATATTATACATTACTTCCTTGGGGGCCTAAATTCATGAATATGAAATAGAAAATAAAATTGAACCACACATCGAATGAGTTGCATTGTTTTGAACACATTATTCCCCATTAATTTCGGGAGCACAATTAATTATTTTCTTACTTCTTTAAACGGAGGAATCTGTTTAAGCAAAGTTGCCAGGTCAGAACTGTGATACGAGTTAAAAGGGTCTACGTTTCACAAATCTGACCTAGTAGCAAACTTAAAACTGGGGATTACTTAATTGGGAGTTAGTCGATTAGTCACATCTTGAAGTAAGACACACAAAGCATGCATGAGAATAAAAATATCATACATTCCTTGGGTGCCGAAGGTCAAGATTATGAAATAGAAATCAACATTGAACCCGAATCGAATACGATACAGCTACATTTATTATTATTATTTTCTTAATTTTATAAACTGAGGTATTTTTCAAGTAAAGTTGCCAGGTACAGATCATGATACGAAATAAAAAAGGCAACGTACGTTTCAGAAATCTGACCTGGTAACAAACTTAAAATTTGGGCGTTAGATCGCATTCATTGTTCAATGTCGCCTGCTCACATGTTTGCTGTATGGCATACAAGAGCTTTATGATTTGGAAAATAACATAAATCCTCTGTTTGCCATAAAGCACGAATATGAAAAATATGCACAAGCTTTCTTCCTTCAAAAAAGTAAAGGTATATAGAATGGAACCATTTCGAAATCAAGATTTATTTATATATTTCTTTAACCGCAGGTTTTGTCCAACGTAAAAATCCACTCCTCTAGCAAACTTTTAACTTGGCGATTACTCACATCTTGATCTAAGACACACAAAGGATGGATGATCTAGAATATATCACACATCCCTTGGGTGACTAAAGTCATGAATGTGAATTATAAATTGATGGGTTTCAGTTTGAATTAGTCATTCTTTGTGGAGTAATCCCATCTTGCTTTGAAGCCAACAACAGCATTATGAACTACAAAATATCACAATATACCCCTGCTGGCCACATAGCACGAATGTGAATAAGATAAGATAAATTTTCAATATTTTTTGGGCAAAGGTACCACAGATCCAGAAACCAAGTACGTATCAAAAATAGGCAATGTATTTGGGATCTGAGTTGTGCTAACAAACTTGAAAACTGATTATAATTTTCAAATTAAAATTTATTTTCTGGCAGGTATGTTCCAGCTAAGTTGCCAAAGGGGAAGTGCAATTCGAGTTAAAAAAGGCAACGATTTGCAAATCCCCTTTGGTAACAAGCTCTGGAAATTTGGTAACTTCTTTGACGATTACTCACCTTGATCTTAATCAGAAAAAGGCTGCAGATGGATAAAAAAAAAGGTCACACATGCCGGGTTTCCCTGGCTAAGATCATTCAAATAAAATATAAATTAAAATTAAACACGTTTATCACTCGAACATCGATTGGGATGGTTTTGATCACCTTATTCACTATTAATATCGGGATCGCAATTAACTGTTTTCTTTCTTTTTAAAACTGGAGGAATTTTTCAAGCAAAGTTTCCATGTACAAAACTCTGATACGACTTAAAAATGGAACGTTTCACGAATCTGACCTGGTAACAAGCAAATCAAATTGAACCACACATCGAATGAGTTGCATTGTTTTGAACACATTATTCCCCATTCATTTCGGGAGCACAATTAATTATTTTCTTACTTCTTTAAACGGAGGAATCTGTTTAAGCAAAGTTGCCAGGTCAGAACTGTGATACGAGTTAAAAGGGGCTACGTTTCACAAATCTGACCTAGTAGCAAACTTAAAACTGGGGATTACTTAATTGGGAGTTAGTCGATTAGTCACATCTTGAAGTACGAAACACAAAGCATGCACGAGAATAAAAATATCATACATTCCTTGTGTGCCGAAGGTCAAGATTATGAAATAGAAATCAACATTGAACCCGAATCGAATACGATACAGCTACATTTATTATTATTATTTTCTTAATTTTATAAACTGAGGTATTTTTCAAGTAAAGTTGCCAGGTACAGATCATGATACGAAATAAAAAAGGCAACGTACGTTTCAGAAATCTGACCTGGTAACAAACTTAAAATTTGGGCGTTAGATCGCATTCATTGTTCTTTGTCTCCTGCTCACATGTTTGCTGTATGGCATACAAGAGCTTTATGATTTGGAAAATAACATAAATCCTCTGTTTGCCATAAAGCACGAATATGAAAAATATGCAAAACTTTCTTCCTAGGATCTGAGTTGTGCTTACAAACTTGAAAGCTGAATCGAATCTGGTACTCAGATCTATCACTTATAATTTTCAAAATAAAATTTATTTTCTGGTAGAGATGTTCCAGCCAAGTGGCCAAAGGGGAAGTACAATTCGAGTTAAAAAAGGCAACGTTTTGCAAATCTCCTTTGGTTACAAGCTGGAAATTTGGTAATTTCTTTGACGATTACTCACCTTGACCTTAGTCAGGAAAAGGCTGCAGATGGATACAAAAAGTCACACATGCAGGGTTTCCCTGGCTAAGGTCAACCAAATGAAATTTAAATTAAACTCCCGAAAATATATTGGGATAGTTTTGATCACCTAGTTCACTATTAATTTCGGGAGCACTAGTAATTAATTTCCGTGTTATTTTTCAAGCAAAGTTGCCAGGTAAAACCTGCACTACGAGTTAAAAAAGGCAACGTTTCGCAAATCTGACCTGTTAACAAACTGAAACTGCGGATTTAAATCGTTAATAAACCTATTTGGCGACTGCTCCACCTGGCTGTTTGGTAGACAATAGCTTTATGAATTTAACAATAAAATAAATCATTTGAACACCAAATAGCATGCATGTGAATTTGGTTTGGGAAAGGGAAAATTATTTCTTTAACATGAAAACACTGTTGTTTTTTTAAATGTTCTTCAAATATAGGTACGAGTTTTTTCCAAGCTAAGTTTCCAGGTAAAACCTGCGATACGAGTTAAAAAAGGCAACGTTTCGCAAATCTGACCTGGTAACAAGCGGAAAATGTAGGTTAAGTCCGTATTCACTCTTACTTTAAAGTTGAAGGCTTACTTCTTTATTATTGAAAAATCACACCAAGTCTTTTTCGTTTACATCACGACTCCATAGTTTCTTGATATAAGG